AGCCCTGATCTGGGTGACCAACATATCCAAAAATCACTCAAATCAGTTCAGGGGTTCAGGAAGTCTTATTGTGACCAACCACACACATGGTCCCATGCCCAAATCAGTTCCAGAGAAAAAGGCTTCGTGGCCAGTCTACTTTGGGGATTCGAAGTACAGTTCGAAATACCAAACGTAGCTGTTCTTGGATAAAGTAAGTGTATGTTCGTGAGTTTCTTTTTACCGAATACTGTTCGACTCCCGTTCGAATAGCCGAACATCCATGGAAGGTAAAGTTTAGCGGTGTTCGCACCGTCAGGTATCCGATTTGAGCGCCATGCACTCGACGACCAAACACCTGGCTGGCAAACGGGCCCCTCCAAAAACCAGTGGCAAGGTAACTTTCTCCACAGGGTGACAGATGTCAGTGAAGGTAGTAGGGGGTGGCAGGTGGCAGTGAGGGGGTGACAGATGGCAGTGAGTGTAGTAGGGGGTGACAGAAGGCAGTGAGGGGGTGACAGATGGCAGTGAGGGTAGTAGGGGGTGACAGATGGCAGTGAGGGGGTTACAGATAGTAGTGAGGGGAGTAGAGGTGACAGGTGGCAGTTAGAGAAGAAGGGGTGATTTTTGGCAAGAGAAATACCTTTGTCCCTGGTGGTCTAGTGTCCTCTCTCCCTGGTGGTCCAGTGGGCTCCCTATCTGGTCTGCAGCTCTGCCGGTTGTTAGCTGCAGACCACGTGATAGGAGTCTAGTGATCTCAAGAAGTCAGAGCGTTCCTGTGGTACATTTCAGTCTGCAGCTCACACCTGGCATAGCTGCAGACTGAAGGCAGGCTTTCAGGGCAGATGGGAGGGGCCTCGCAGCCGGGGGCATTATGGGCAAGCCGCCGGGCCCCCTCCCGATGTCGGGCCCTAGGTCATGGACTGAGAGCCCAACAAGTCACTCTGCCCAAAGGCGATTAAGGCGGCCCCGAGGCCCCCGCCGGCGCAAGGCCTTAGGCAGCCGCCTAAATAGCCTCTGGAAAGGGAACATGCCACAGTGTTAGAGAGAGCAAGAGTATTTGCATAGTGTGCAAAGTCAACTTTACCCTAACTAATTTCATTTTCAGCCAGTCCACACAAGTTTTGTTTCCCCACATGTGAAGAGTAGTAAAAAAAAAAAATGTAGGTGGGGCATGGGCGGCAAGGAGAGGTGTGCGCAATTGGCTGTCTGGTGCCAGAATGCTGTGTTTTTTGGCATCTGACATTAATTTGAACAGAATTCACATTAGCCATCCGAGCTGGCTAATAAGGCCCCAAAGACGGAGCTGGAGATGAAGTTACACATCTGGTAGAAGAGGGATCAAAATCTGTATTTGCAATGTTTCATAGCAAAACTCCAGGCACCTTGACCACTTCAAAACACTGACCACTATTTAATAACTGATGAGGCCGTTATTATCTACAATTGTCACTAAGCATTTCCTATATCCTATTGGATCAGGACCCAAAATGTTATCCCTATACTATGTTATCAATTGAGAATTGTGTCCCTATCAAAGAAGGTTAAAAAAAATACTGAGCTATTTGTCCCACATTTAATTATGCCATTTGTTTGATGAATCATTTTAGGTCCAAGCAGCAGAGGTGCTTCAAGTGACTGTCCAAGTTTAGGATTAACAAGCACGGACGTTCCAGTTGCTGTGCATGATTTCATCTCCAACGAGGCTCTGCCCAACAACTGGACTAGTCAAGATCACTTACTTATCCATGGTCTAAACCACCTGGCGCTAAATTTTATTATATATTGGCATGGATTATAAGCATGTTTGAGCAGGACCTTTAATCGTAAAGCATTGTGGAATATATTGGCTACTATTAATAATTAAATTAAATCAACAAGTCAAAATTATTAAACAAAATTTGATCTATTAGTTTCAATTGTGTGTCTCTACAATGTATGAAATTGTAATGTGTTGCTGACAATACACCCATTACATAGTTACTTTGGAGCAAAACATATCACTGTCTGTTTTGTCATATCTCCTCCAATAAGGCAAACACATCACACAGACAGACTGCTTTATTTATTTACTGATCTCCTTTCTATCCTTTTTCCCCCCATCTAGAAATCTGTGCACATTCCCGCAGTCAGGGAGGTAATTATATCTATTGACATTATAAATTACATTCTCTTAACACCGCAGTGTGATGTGATTTCCTCCGCTCAGTAAGCTGTATGCAACATGATATTTCATCAACCTATTCTTCAGCATTATACTCTCACAATGGCAATATAATTGCTTGCGTTCCTTCGGCACACAAGATGACCCCGCTTCTGTTTTTCATAAGATAACAAAACCCAAGTAAGTAAGATAGAAAGGATGAGATAAGAAGGCAGGAGAAAGGGAGAGAAAGAGTGGGGAAGAGGTACATAAATAGCATGCGATTGGGTCTGGAGAGTGAGATGAAACAGAGAAAGGTGTTGGTTCGTCGGGGTGGGGTGGGGATGCACAATGGAAAATATGCCCCCCCAGATTAAACAAAAATGCAACAAATAACTGCATGTATATACGCAGTGCAGGTAGAAAAACGAAGGAAAGAAAAGAAGAAAAGGAGATTGGGTTGGCAGACAGACAGACAGATACATATATCAAATGAATTTAATTACAACATGCACACTGAGTTTATTTCTACTGAATGTGGAGATCTGATCTTTAATTTTTGCTGTACATGTATATGCGTCAGGAGAGACATGAAGGTTTAAAGGGGAAATGTAATTTCCCAGGATATTATGTTTACACATTCTCGATATAGAAAATAAAATTATAATTAAATATTCCAACAGCTGCCCTGGAGCTAAGTGCCTCCCAGTGGGCTATCGGTCAATCATTGGTTTTAGCTCCACCTTTTGCACCTGTCAGTCAGCACAGACAGAGCATAGAGAAAAAAAAATATTTCTGCATTGCAATGCGTGCCCTGGCTGTGCCTGATCTGAACTGATTTGTGATAACAAACGTTATATCTTTAAAATACATGAAAAGAAAATGGAATATCACATGGAACTCACTTCCCTCCTCCGTTAGATGCTCACCCAGTCTTCAGTCCTTCAAAAAATCGTTAAAAACCCACTTCTACATAAAAGCGTACCAATTAAACTGTTAATAGCTCCCGACTGATTCCTCTTCTGCAACTGTCACTAGTCTAATACTATCCTTACCTTTTTGTGTCATTTTACCCCACTCCCTCTAGCATGTAAGCTTATTGAGCAGGGCCCTCAACCCCTCTATTCCTGTGTGTCCAACTTGTCTGGTTACAACTACATGTCTGTTCGTCCACCCATTGTAAAGCGCTGCGGAATTTGTTGGCACTATATAAATAATAACAATAATAATAATATAATAATAATAATAATAATAACATGGAGGGAAAAACAAACAAAACAAAGAAAAACAAAAAAACAACAACACACAATCTTTTATTTATTGGTGTAATTTCTGGAAAAGTAATTGTAAAAGTATGTTTTTGCAACTGGAATGTGTATTGTGTACTGGTATGTATACACAAACTGTTTCTACAATTCTAACTTTAATGAGCAAGTTACATTTCAAAAGAGAAAGAGAGAGAGGGAGCTACTTGGCACGTAGTTTTACAGATACTGACAATAATAGCTAAATAGAAAGTGTAAGACAGCGGATGAACGTGATCTGTACGGAGCGAGAACCCAGCTTAATTCCGCCACCGTTAAACCTTTCAATTCCAAAAGTGTCACAGCCCCAGCAAGGTGTGGAAAATAAATTTGCAGGCTGATAATATACATTTTTTATGGGCTAATACATAGCTAGTGTGAGCAGAAGGATTGTATCGTAAAAATATATTGACCTTCTATTTATACGGGTGCACAGGACGGGAGGGGGCATCATGGCTCATTGTGTAGTTTTCTCTCAACACTGAAAATTCACAAAAGAGGAGAGTGAAAAGCCAATAAACACGTGCAAAGAAAGAAATCATTTTTAAAACCCAGCAATTTCGAGGACTAGTAAAGAGTGAATCATTAATCTCTGTACTATGGGTTACTGACAATGTTTGCAGTGCTGTGTAGCACAGATCACACTATCTCATCCCTTTATCTTTGATTATTGAGATATTTCCAGACAGCTCAAATAGATTGCAGAGAAACAATGTATTTACCATAGTTCCAACTATTTTTTTTGGTGGATCCCATGCTCACATTAGGCACTGAGATGCTTGGAATGGTATGGTGTAGGATGAATTGTCTCTTCTCCTTTTGTGCTGCTGACTGGACTTAGTCTTCCCACAGCAGCATTGAAAGAGACAGTGGTGATTTAGCTAAATTATTCTATGCCCTATCTCTCCCCCTAAGTCCCCCAGTGCATAATGTGCTTATGCCATACAAGGACATGAATGGATAATGAGAAAATTAGATTTCCTCATTATAATGTTGCATACTGAGGAGGTAGCCTCTGGGCACTGGAAATTTCAAAGTGACAATTACATTTCTACTTGGATCAACAAGTTGGTAATAACATTATAGCCCTGAATATCGTGTTTTGATTAAAAAAAAAGTTTATGTATAATGAGGCACAAAACACAAATACCACATCACAAATACAATTTCAAAGAGTCTATCTTTCGATAAGTATAGGTAACCTATCTTTAGACAAGGGTTAGTGTCTTTGGGTTAGAGTTAGAGGTGGAGTTAGATTAAAGCGCCCCCAAACTGCAGAATGGTGAACCATGCATTATTTCAATTCATTACAGGAAATACTTTTACTGATGTTGTCACCATTGATTCACCATGGGATTAAAAATATGATACATATTTCTCACTCTTGTGGATGGTATTTTGTGTCATTCATAATTCTTGACTCCTCTACCAGTGGCCTGGGAGTCTGCAAAAAATGCAGTATCTTAGTTGTCTTCTGGACAGTAATCATAGATATGACCCTCTTCATTCATTCTTTTCTTTTTTTCAATGTCTGATTTTTATTCAATTTTTCAAACGAGAATAAATAACATTTGGGGATACAGAAAACAAGTGGAGGGAAGGGGGTTAAGTAACATGACGTTTGTACAGCTTTGTCAGATACATACAAAACATTAAGGATATTGCAGCCAATACAATCAATGCATGGGAAATACAGGTTTACTCATATCTGCTTCTGTTGGCGTACTTAGATTACTTAGCATATGGACAATTTTGAAACAGGACAGGGACTAATCAGTCTGGCATACAGTAAAGCTCTTGTTATAACATTTACTTTTAAATGCTCTTCCGTGTTCCCCTCGGGACAGCAGTTGAGCATGTGCTACCAGCACCGCTGTCATGTAGGGTATGTGATGGTATTGAAAGCGTGTCGTGTCAGCCCGGTACCTTGTTCATATTTCCCTGGTATCTTTTCCTCCCTATCTTAGATGGGATGCAATCCCGTTTTGTTTGAGCGTCCTATCTCGTTTGGTTGGTGCCCTGGTGTCAGTAGTCCCGTTCCTGGGGTTGATCTTCATTCATTCTAACTCCTTTTTAAACAGCCCTTGGTACTTGTGGTAAGTGGCTATTCAACTATACACATAGGAGCACTCAAAGTGTAAAATATATACTTTATTATGTCCAATTCTTAAAAAGTCACCAAAGCACATATTAAAAAAATGGGATTAAATAAATGTAAGAGCAATCCTTAGTTAACATGGGAGATGGAAGAGCAAGCCGTGCATTAATATAATTAGATCATTCAAAAATGCACAATTGGTAAACATACTCAGAGACCAAGAATTATGGAGTTAAGAAGAATATCATATCCACACAAAGAAACAGATGCCCCCACCACCCCCACAAATGCTTCAGCCAAAATACCTTTTCAATGGATGATCAGTGGTTAGTGACATATCCATCACTGGGTACCGACACATCCACCACTATTTCTGAATTGTTGGAAATTGACATGTTAAATATAAATGAAAAATCGAACAAACAGATCTACACAGCTCTTTACATGGATTCAGTAACCCAGTAGCAGCAGTGTATGGTGTGGACAGACAATATTTTGAGTCAGAGATATATATAAGCAGAGCCAGTGCAAGGATGTCTGATTACACAGGCAAAAATGCATTTTGATGTCCACCTCCCCCAAAAAGTATCTTCACCTGTGTGTCTCATACCCCTCTTTCGAATTTGTTAACTCCTTTAGTGTTTCATATCCCCTCTTTTGAATGTCTTACCCCTATTTGCCCCTATATGTGTCTTACATCTCCTTTATTGTATTTTATCCCCCTTTTGTGATTTACGCCCCTTGTGTGTCTCTTCCCCCAGCCCCTTTGTGTGTCTCTTACCTCCCACTAGTCCCTTTGTGTGTCTCTCTCTTCCATGCAGCCCTTTTATTTGTCTCCTTCTACCATCCAGTCCCTTTCTTTGTCTCCTTCTCCCCCCCAAGTCCCTTTGCGTGACTCTTTCTCCCCTCAGCCCATTTTATGCCCCCTGTTCCTTTGTGTGTCTCTTTTCTCCCAAGCCATGTAGACATAGATTTACAGGCAACAATGCATAAAGATGCAAACATACAGACACACAACCATACAGGCACACAGACTTTGTTATACAAGCACAAAGTTACAAAGTTATACAGACGTTCAGTCACACAAACAAACAAACAGTCATACAGGCACACAATAATACAAGCTACACATACAGGTACACTGCCATACAAACACAGACATACAGACATTGTCAAAGATAGACATACAGAGAACATATGGTAATTGGGGGGCACACCTGGAACAAACATTTCTAAGTAGCGGTGCTGCCATAAAGACCAAAAATGTTGGTAGTATGTGAGCTGTTCCCTAATCTGTATTATGTATACAGAGTCATACGGACACAGTCATACAAAGACATATAGACACAGACATACAGTCATACAGAGACATACAGACATAAAGAGATATACAGACTCTTGGGTGGCAGCAAGGACCATAGTACACATCAGCCCCAATACATACTGTAAAAAAACAGAGAATTTTTTTATTTTTTCCTTTTTTTCCTTTGGTTTATACAGAGATATACAAAAACACATAGAGACATTCAGACACAGACATATAGATACATACAGACAGAATCACACAGAGACATACAGACACAGACATACAGAGACATACATACACAGACATATAGTCATACAGAGACAGAGAGAAGGCATACAGAATCATACAGACATACAACCATACAGAGACATACATACACAGACATATAATCATACAGAGACATACAGAGAAAGGCATACAGAGACATATATACAGTCATACAGACTTACAGACATGCAGACATAGTCATACAGAGACATTCATAGTTACATAGTTACATAGCTGAAAAGAGACTTGCGTCCATCAAGTTCAGTCTTCCTCACATTTGTTTTTTGCTGACATTCAGACATAAAGACCCAGGTGGTCAAACATGTAGTCACAATTACATACTTACCTTTCAGCCCTATGCAATCAGGTCCCTGGGAAGCATGCTGTCCAACTCTGTGATCTGTGGAGTTCCAATGCTGTAGCCCAGCCCCATCTCTTGGAGTCAGTGTGCTGCATAGGGAGCAGGGATATGACGTGATTCATATCTTATCCCCTCCAAAGAGCTTTTGGCATGCACCAGAGTCGGAGGCCGGCTGGGCAGAGGTGCTGGAGCTCAGCCATGCTACATGAAGTGATCAGCAGGAGAGGAGCTTCCCTCCTGCCAGTCACCGGACATTGTGCCCCCAGGCCCGTGTACCCTAAGGTGGCTGCCTGTGGCACCTTATTTTAGTTCCTGCCCTGTATATAAGTAGCAAAAATATGTTTAAAAAGTAAGATCTCAGAGGGTTGCTTTTTGTTCAATTTCAAACTTCAAAATTTGGCAAAATAAAAAAACCCCCACTGCTTTAATTTTCAGAATCCAACCTCGCTATTGAGTTCAGTAACAAAAATAGTATTTGCCCTGCAATTCCCATTAAATGGTTTAATGTGATTTCAAGAGGACACAAAAGGCACCTAGACCATTTCATCTCAATGAAGTGGTCTGGGTTCCGAGCTTATGTCATCTTGACCCTGCACAGTAAAAAATGGGAAGCTTTGGATTGGCTGAGATCATCAAGATTAATATTCTCAGTATGGTGAGAACAGACCGCTGTGGGAAATAAGTTAAATAAATCATTTTAAACCTTTTAAAACCCTTAAGGGGGAGGGACCTAAATAGCGAGGAGAACACTAGAGTGTTCCTTTAACACTTCACACTTCAGAGCAGCATGCTATGCATACAATAGTCCTTAATGGCTTAAGTCCATGTCAATCTTTTGTGTAATTCTCTCTATATTCTCTATTTACTGCCCCCTCCTCTCTCCATCTCCCAGTCACACATTATTCACCATCGTTTTCTCTCTTAGAGATTTCACTTAGCTCAGAAAAACAAAAAATAATTAGTCTTGGATTCCACATTAAAAAAGCATAAAATGACATCTTCCAAATTGCAGTGGAAAAGAAAGCTTACAATTATTCAAACATTCATTAATGAAATTACAGCAATTATATGCAAATGTCTCCAATTTTTCTTCATTATTGTGACTGAGCTGCAGTTTGCTTCAGAAGTAACATCGTAAGGTTGTCCGTATAAGTCATGTTCTGATACGGCTCATCGGAGCAGTATAGATTCCACTCATACCTTGCTGCGAAGCTAATGAGGAATTTCACTCTATTAATTCAGCCGCATGCATCTTGTAAAACACTTACTGGAATTCCAATAGCCTGATATGTTTCATTTAGGTTTATTGTCTTGAGCAGTGAAATTTCCAAATAAGTAAATACTGTAAATCAGGAGTGACCAAAAAATAGATCCCCAGATGTTGTAGAACTACAACTCACACGATGCTTTGCATGCCTCTAGAATGCCTTTGGGATGACAAAGCATCATGGGAGATTTAATCTGGTCTCTATTGATACTATTAAAACCTGAGATAGTTACATAATAACACAGGAAGAAAAAAAAAACAACCCACATCCATAAAATTAAAATGCTCAAACCGTTGTCTACAACAAACCAACAGACAGATAAGGAGCTGCACTTATTCATATGAGCAAAAAAGGGGTGCAACCAGGCCTGTGGCTAGCCCAAACCCCAAATAGTTTAATCCAATTGAGAAGAAAAAGGTCCAGGCACTCCAAAGCTTAATAATGCAGATTTCAACCCAGCAACGTTTCAACCCTACAATGGATATTTGTTAAGCTTGACAAAAACCTATTGTAGGGTCGAAACGTTGCTGGATTCACTTTGTTCCAAATAACTGTGCCTTATTGAGCTTTGGAGTGCCTGGACCTTTTTCTTCTCAACTGGACAAAACAGTCTATTTAGACAGAACATTGACACAACTTACTAGCACTACAAAAAAACAAGGACATCATAAAATTCTAGTATATCGGTGGGTCTGAAGATCTAAAGAACCGGTTCAAATAATACTGCTTTAGCATTCACATTTATTTACTTTGCAGCACACAATGAATGATCATCAGTCACGAATCCCTTTTTTTCAGTTGGCTTTCAGTATATGGCAGGGTGCTGTTACGTCCTTGGGAAATACACTTGTGGTCCTATGTCCCAATTTCTTTCTTTGCCCTTTGTTTGAAATTCCCAACTTGTAAGCATCACAGGTTATGGCATGACAGGGTGATGGAGTCCTACAGGACAAAACACATCCAAACAAAGAGCTTTTTAGAAATCTTACATGAGAGGGCAGAGGCCAATGCAGGTGGGACACATTTTTACATGGTGTTACATTGTTACAGCATTTTAGAGGCAAACACACACAGTCCATTTTTGACAGGAGAGTCTTTATTTAGAAACTTGTTTCACATCCACATTTTGTTCCATGGGATGCTGCATCTCAGGACACAAGGGAACCATCCCCAGAGCTTCATTAGGTCCACTTGTTCTGGAAGCAGTGCTCTCTGCATAGTCTTATATGTTTGAGGCCGACCTGGAGGCTATCAGTCAGCCTTGTGTGCTTGTCGTCGCCATTATGGTCATTACTAGTTATATAAGTTTCATCAATAGCGATGCATCCCCTCAGGGCACACCTGCCTGTCCCAATCTCATAGCTCACGATGTTGTGAGTTATGGACACGTTTAAGTCAAAATAGACAAACAGGAAAAAAAAATTGGTGACTCCAACAGCAAAAAACAAATGTGAGGTAAGCTGAACTTGATGGACACAAGTCTCTTTTCAGCTATGTAACTATGTAACTATGTAACCATTATGAATGATTTAAATTGGTTTTGATGCTCAGAGTCTGTATGTGCAGTGTTTTGCTATGAAATTCTGCACATACTGAGTTTAACCCCTTTGCTGCTAAAGTGGTGACTACACCTCCAACAGTGTCATTGGAGAGTCATTAGCCAATCCAGATGAAGAGTTTTGGGTTGGCTAATGTCAATTCTGTTTATAGTTCTATGCAGAGGCGAAACTAGAAACCACAGGGCCCTGGTGCAATAAGTGCCCTGGGTCCCCCCCCAAGCATCCCCCCCCACCCCTCCATTTGTATAACTCATACAGATACATAAATGGACACACATGCTAATACACAGACGCACAGAATGACACTTCTACAGATATAAACAGTGAAACACATACAGATACATAGGTGCACACACTGACACACATGCAGATACACATGCAGAAAAACAGATACATATACAGACACATATGTAGACAAACAGATACACAAACATACACACAGACACATACTGAGACATACACTTACAGACAAACATGCAGATACATAGACACACTTAATGGCAAACATTCAAATACATATACAGACAAACAGATACCCATGCAGACAAACAGATACACAGACGAAGAGATACACATACAGACACACATGCAGACAAAGATGCACATACAGACTCAGATGCAGACAGACACCCACACATAGACATACAGACACACTCAGACATACACAGACACACACACAGACATACAGACACATACACACAGCTATACTGATACAGACATTCTCTCTCTCACACACACACACACACACACACACACAAACATGCAAACTGTTAAACTGTTACAAACAAATGTAGTGACTTCCCTGGGGTCCAGTGGCTGCCTCATGCTGATAGGAGTCAGAGCTCCCACTCTCCTCCTCTCCTCCCGTACGCTGCTCTGTTAGCTGGGAGGAAGTGACTGCTTACTCTCAGCTCTGATGTCATCACTGAAGCCCGGTTGTGCACTTTTTTTTTTTTTCAATTTATGCTTCATTGAGTTTTTTCTCAGAAAACATAAACATAAAACAGGGATACAGAAAGAAAGAAAGGGGGGGGGGGAAGCCTCTGGGTTCATGAAAACCTTGTACAATTCATATATTACTTAACATGTTATCTTAAACAGTTATCTTAAACAGCTTGCGGTAGGGCAAGTTTGACCACTGGTATCTCAACCTCTTGTGTTCCCATCAACATGCGACAACAAAGCAGAGTTTAAACACTGTCAGCTATTCAAGGCCTTCTTAACGGTTTTGGTACCACTCCTGTATCGTCGTCTTGTTACCCTTTTGTATGTCCTTACTTGTAAGTATATATATATATATATATATATATTTTTTTTTTTTGTTAATTAAGATGCTTTGTTGAGAGTGTCTGGAATCATGAAAAGCAACCCATTCTCCGGCTGCAGTGCAATTTGTGTGTGTAAAGAACTGTTGATAAGTCTCTCCACTAGCTCCCAGTATCTTTTTATCTTTGGGCATGTCCACCATATGTGGTACATACTGCCTTAATCTTCGCCGCATCTCCAGCATAATTTCGATGTGTTTGGATAGATTTTCTCTAACCTGGTTCGGTACCATATACCATCTATATTGGATTTTCCTTATTAACTCTACGTGTGAAGAACATCTTGACCTTTCGTTGTGTGCCATAAGTGCCTTCTGCCATTGAGTGTCTGTGAACCATTTGGGTATGTCCTTTTGCCAGTGTTCTTTAAGTTTGTCTAGTGTATCGTTGCGTGGACTATCATTTAGAGTTGTGTATAGTAAGGATAGCAGTTTTTTTGCATGGTGCCTGTTTCGCATATTTTATACAGTAGCTCTAGGGGTTGGGGGGAGGTTTTGTTTATGTTGTTCTCTAACAGAGATTTCATTTGTAGGTAGGAGAACAGTGTGCTATTTGGTAGGTTGTATGTCTGTCGCAAATCAGAATATTGTTTTATTTTACCCTCACAGAATAGTTGGTCTACTCTCGAGCAGCCAGTTTGTGTCCACGGGCGAATGTTTAATGTGGGGTTCGCTAGTGATAGGCTCTGCATCGGTGTCTGCTGTGCCCATTGGTTAGTGTGTCCAAATTGTCGTGTTGTGGAGTCCCAGATGTCTAACAAGAGTGCTGTTGTCAGGAGTATTTTTTGAGGTTTTGGTCTTAATTTGTGTGGTACCCAAAACAGGTGCTTTATGCCACTGTGGCATCCTTCAGCAGATTCTATTTCTTCCCATTGTGGTCTTTCCCCTGTTGTTTGTGTTTTGTGTGTTTGTAAGGCTACCGGCATGATGGCGGCTCTGTAGTACAAGTGTACAACATGGGAGTCCCAGCACTCATGTTGCATTGGTTTGCACAGGAGTTTTGTGGCTACTCTGGTTTTCCTGTTCGCCCATACAAATCGTGTGATTATCTGTAGTAATTTATTAAGGTAGGTGTTTGGGAGGAATATCTGTAGTGTGCGCAATAAGTATTGGTACTTGGGTAGTAGCATCATCTTTATGGCCACTATTCTTCCTATCCAGGACAGGAATTTGTTCTCCCAGCTTTTCAATGTGTCCCCTAGCTCTCGTAATAACCTGCCATAGTTTAGTTCCAATAATTGCGCAGGGTGTTTGGGGATCTTCAGTCCCAGGAATGTGAGGTAATCCTCTCTCCATTCAAGCTGGAAACAGTTTTTTAATTGTGTCAGTGTTTTAGTGGGTATTCCTATCCCCATAGCTTGCGTTTTATTGAGGTTAAGTTTGTAGTAAGAGTGTTCCCTGTATGTGTTGATTTCAGTAAGGAGGTTGGGTAGTGAGATAAGTGGTTGTGTGAGTGTCAGAATCACATCATCAGCAAACAGCACTGCTTTGTATTCATTGTTCCCTATCTGTATGCCATGTATGTTTGTATTGGCTCTGATTTTGCTAGGTAAGGGTTCCAAGGCCAGGATGTAAATCAGTGGTGACAAGGGGCAGCCCTGGCGGGTGCCGTTTGTTAGTTGGAAAGGTTCCAATAGGAAGCCTGAGTTTAGGACCTGTGCCGCAGGTGCGCTGTATAGTGTTTCAACCACTGCGACAAAGTCATTTGGGATCCCAAATTTTGTTAATGTTGCCTTGAGAAAACCCCAGTGCAGCCTATCAAAGGCCTTCTCCGCATCCAAGGACACGAAGAGGCCCCCCGGTGCATGTGTCTGGAGTTTATGTAGTAGGTTTAATACTTTCCTTGTGCTGTCGGATCCCTGTCTTCCCTTTACAAATCCCACCTGATCATTGTGTATATTTTTGGGATGATTTGTCCTAATCACCTTGTGTACAGTTTCGCAAAAAATTTTGCATCAGTGTTTAGTAATGATATGGGTCTGAAGTTTTGTGGACCCGTGGTGGGTTTATTTGGTTTCGGTAATGTGACTATGTGGGCTAGCAGCATTGCTCTCGGGAGCGATTTTGTGGCTATTGCATAGTTGAAAGTCGTGGCTAAATATGGTGCTAGGGTCGAGTCGAATGTTCTGTAATACTGGTTTGTTAGGCCGTCCGGTCCAGGTGATTTGCCGGTAGGTAACGTTTTAATGACATCTATAATCTCTTGTGCGTCTATGGGTTTAATCAGGTCTGCTTTTTGTTGTGTCGTGAGTTCTGGTAAAGTGATCTGTGCTAGGTAGGCTTGGATACTCGATTCTGTGGGGTTGGCAGTGTTACTATCCTCTTTCAAGTTGTATAAGCTATGGTAATATTTGGCGAATACATCGCTTATGTCTTTGGGTTTAGTGCTTTTCCTTCCCTTTCCGTCCATTAGATGAGCTATTTTTTGGTTCGCTTGTTTCTTTTTGAGGTGGCTCGCTAGTAGTTTGCTCTCCTTATTGCCCTGCATGTAATGAGCTATTTTTAGTTTTGTCATGTGTGCCTGTGTTTGCTCTAGGGCCTGTTGGTGTATCAGTCTGGATATGGTCATTATTCGTTGTTTAAGTTCTGCTGTTCGTTGCATTTGGTTTTGGGAGTTAAGGTCATATAGTTCTTTTTTCCATTCCCTAAGTTTGGTGTGGGTGACTTTTTTGATGTATGCTGCCCTTCTGATCAACAGACCCCTAATTACCGACTTATGTGCCTGCCATATTGTCGTTGGTGTTACCTCCCCATTGTCGTTTGTCGCGAAATAGGACTCTAGGTCGTTTTGTAGGTCTTTAGTAAGTCTTTAGTAAAGGTTCTGTCCTGTATTAGTGAGTTATTCAGTTTCCATGGGCTGCGGTGTTTAAAGTCGTATGCATTTTTCATATTTAGTATTACTGGTGCGTGATCCGACCATGTGATTTGTTGTATATCACATGCCTGTATTTGGTTCAAGTGTGGGCCTGATATGAGGAATCTATCTATTCTGGAGTAGGAGTTGTGAACCGCGGAGAAGTGTGTGAATGACTTGGTCTCCGGGTCTGTAATTCTCCATGTGTCGTAGAGATGGTGTTCATGGAGGAGTTTTTGTATGCTTTTGCACTGTCTTGATAGAGGTCGATGCCTATGGTGGTGTTGTGGCAGTGTGGTGTCTATTTTAGGGTCCAGTATGTGATTGAAATCCCTGCATATCACCGTTATGCCTTGTTGTAGTTTGTGAAGTTTGTTTAGTACGCTGTGTAGAAAATTCCTCTGGTTGGTGTTAGGTGCATATATGCTTACTAACGTGTATAACATATCGTTTATTGTTCCTGTTACCATGACATACCTGCCATTTTTGTCTTCGCCATGGGTGTGTGGTATGAAGTTAACGTGTTTGTTATGAGTATAGAAGTCCCTTTGGATTTGTGTGGTGAGGTTGAGTGGTATTGGTGTGGAAAATTTGCCACTTGAACCTGGTCATTGTGCCTAAAATGTGTCTCTTGTAGACACAATATATCTATGTCTAATGACTTGAGATCCCTGCCAAGTAGGTGTCTTTTTGTGGGGTTGTTAAGCCCCCTTACGTTATAAGTACAGATCTTCACGGTGGTTCTTTATAGTACTTCATTGTATAGTATTCTGTCTGTTCTATTCTAACTACGGCCATCACTCTCCCCCAGCCTTTCAAGTCGAGTGATGGTGTCTCCTGGGCTTGGAGCTTCGGTCTCCTGTGTGCTTTGTGTACCAATATTATGTCTCTGTGTTGGATGTCTTGGTGTGGTCCCTACTGCCTGGTGGTCGCTGTTGCCACGTACATAGAAAGCATTATTTAAATGAACCCAATAAGGAAATAACAAATAAAACTTAACAACTATAACATAAGTATATACATTGGTTAACATTGCCATAAGTATGGCTAGGCACTGCGTCTTCGTGCCTTGGGGTAGAAGCTAACCTTCACGTCCTGTACCGTCTCCTTCCCTTAACCTCATTTAAGTTGCTGCGGTCGTGTAGTGTCTTATGTATGCCTTATGTTATTTTTTTAGTTAGTATTTACCTGCATTTTTGTGGTTATTTAGAGTGTCTCTGTGTGTTTAGTTTGCCAGGAGGGCCTAGGTTTATCTTTCGTATCTCAGGTGTTCTCCTGTCGGTCTCTCTGTATCTTGTACTATAGTGAACTAGTCCTACAGTAATGACTCTCAGCAATACCCCTTTTTAATACAGTTTTAGACAGGCCTCTTCTCTTGTAGGTCTGAATATAATTGTCCCTTATTTTGCCTAGTTATTAGTCCTTTGTTTGTCCATGTCTTTTTTTTTTTTCTTTTACTTTACCCGATCTTGGCCATCTCCCAGCTTAAGCTTTTCCTTCCAGAGAGCGTCTCTAATTTGTGAGTGTTGAGCGGGTGACCATTTCTGTTTTTTCTTTGCTTTTTTCCAGTTCGGGGAGAGTCTGGTGGCATTCCTTCTTTCGGGTGAACTGTCTGGCAAGGTGATGTCCCAGGTTTTGAGGAGTCTGTATCCTTCCTCCGGTGATTTCACTATTGTTGTTTTCTCTTTCTTGGTTATGAGGAGCTTTGTCGGGTATCCCCAGCGGTATGGGAGATGGTTGTCTCTCAGTGATTGTGTGATAGCTTTAAACTCTCTCTGGCGTTTTAACGTGTAGGTAGAGATGTCTGCGTAGATCGTTATGCCCTTGTATGGCTCTGGCATAGTTTTCTTTGTTTTGTTAGCGTTGAGTGCTGCATCTTTAGCATGAAAATAATGCATGCGGAGCAGCACATCCCGTGGAGTTTCAGGTGTTAGGAAGCTTGGTTTTACCGTGCGGTGTATCCTGTCGATCAGGAGCATCTCCTGGGGCCAGTCAGGTAAGAGGCATTTTAGGAGCCCTGTAACATGGGCCATAAGGTCGGGTGTGCTTACGCTTTCCGTGATACCTCGTATGCACAAATTATTCCTGCGGACCCTGTCCTCGATGTCCACAAACTTTATGTCCTGCTCTTCAATTCTGAAGATAAGGCCGTCTATAGTATTCGCCATGGTATTATGGGCTGTTTCATATTCCGCCATTTTATCTTCCATTTGCGAGGTTCTTGTGCCCAGCTCGTGTAAATCTTTGTGGATGTCCTTCATTGCCATGTCAAGTTTGCTGAGTATTTTATTTGGCATTTCCTCCAGTAGTGCTTTCAGTGTGCCCTGTGTTAGGGTGGATGTTTGGTCCGCCATCAACTCCACATGTTCCACAGTGTCATCGTCACCATCTTGGGCCTGCTCTTGTGTCTCTGGAGTCTTTTGCTGTCCTGCTCTGGATGCAAAAAAATTTGCTTTCTCTGACCTGTCAGTGGTCCTTTTTCCCTTGGGTTGCGACATCTCTGCAGGTTAGTTGTTTTTATAGATTTTTTCGGGCTTAATTGCTCATCTGAGGTTGATTGGGAACGGAGCCGCTAGTGCATGCGACTGCTCAGGTCTCCCGTCAGGACACGGTTTAAGTGCCAAAACGCTGACCGGGCCTCAAGAAATCCATTACTATCGGGATGGGCCCCTTCAATGCGGACCCGGCTGTTTTCCCGGGCGTCTGGGGCCGCATCACAATACCAGCACCCCGGTTGCAGAGGTCGACAGGGCAGCAGGGCCCCTGGAGTAATGGGCCCGGTCGCGGCTGCGACCACTGCCACCGCGGTAGTTCCGCCACTGGTTCTATGAACAGAATGTCATTCATTGGCGGAGAACAGTCAGTTGACACTTTCAGCTAATGAATGGCTGGTGATATTGGCATAAGGTTTATGCAGCTCCGCAAAACCAGATATTGCAAGCTTGATGCAGAGGAGACCTGGCACCTGGGTCTCGCAGGTGATAGGACAAAGTGTTGTAAAAAGGAAAGGGTTCTCCTACCCTGGCCTAAGCAGGTTGTAGTAGTTATGAAGATATTTGGGAAGTGTAGACTCTAGAGAGTGAGCACTGTTGGGAATCCACATTATTTTCTAAGACATTAATCTTTAAAATGTTATGTATATGGGACAGTAGTACTCAATGTGCATTGACTGTGTGTACACAATGCACAAGCACAAAATAGAAAACATTTATATTCACTTGCAACAAGAATACTCTCACATTGCTAGTTTTAGGGTGAAGACTGATGATCTGTCACTGCATCACAGGGCTTAATGGAGTTAACTGAAGCTCCTTGTAGGAGTTTATATTTCGAAAGAAAGTGTTGGCTGGTACCTGACGGACTCCAGGTATGTTAAACTGTTTTCATACATTTTAGCTAATTACCCTTGAACATTGCCAGGCAAGCAATTTGGTATTAGCCAGTTAAAGTTTGAAGGAGCACTATGCATTGTATATGCAGAGTTCTGAAGCCGTGGCAAGCTGATACGCTTAGATAAATGAGTAGGAATCTAGATTGGCTGAAAACGCAGGCCCTTATATGAAGGTATTTTAATTAAATTTACACAGCAAACAGTTTCCAGGCTATACAAAACAATTTGTTATATATATATATATATATATATATTTTTTTTTTTTACTCTATCTTTCATTTTTTAATCAGCAAGCTTCTCACTTAGTATTCCCAAACTACTGGAAACTATGTTTCTCATACAGGCAAAGAGACCCCTTTCCTCTAGAACCCTTTAAAAAAATAAAAATAAAATCAAGACTCATTCATTTTGGATGGCATTCAATTAGTGCCTGTTTTACATAAGGGGATTAACAGTTCAACATCCATCTATCATTCATTATACTCTATTCTGTGCATCCTTATTAATTACATCTAAAGGCCTCCTTGGTTATTCACCTGTAAAACACTTTGATTTCTACTGGGAAGAAAGAATTTGAAAAGTTCTTTTCCTTTATATTAATATTATTAATATTATGTCTGGTAGCAGGAAAAAAAATCAGTTTGTTTCAGAAATGTCGAGAAGTCTGTGATAAACCGACAAATATCATACATTGTATAATACACAATTATATGTATTATGTGATGCATAACGTGATATTATTTGAGATAATTATACATATACCTGTCTGTTAATAATTATAATAAATCTAAATGAATGGTAGATATAAGATATGTTATTAAAAGGACATTATAAGCACCAACACAACTTTAGCTTAGTGGAGTGGTTTGGTGTATAAATCATGCCCGTGCAGTCTGACTGCTCAGTTCTCTGTCATTTAATGTTGTGTAAGTTATATGGGATATTAAAATGAAGCATTTTCTTTATAAACAATATGAATATAATATATATAAAATACATGTCCACTTCACTTAAAGGGAAACCCTTTAATTGTGATGGAACAAGCACAAACTCTAGGTTTTGCTTTGGTTCCGAAGTTAAATAACTGTCTGTGTCCTTAACGGTTTAAAGATCATACATCACAATGGGATTTCTCACTTTACTGTGTGAGGGCTATATACAGTGTACACACTAAACAAGCTGGCCTTTGCTCTTTAGGGACTAGATTGTGATGATTCCATGAAATGTTGCTGGTCCTTAAGGGGTTAAAATACTCTGAAAAAAAATAACACTGACCAACTGTAAAGGTGAATTATTTTGTGCTTCAATTTCTGGTCTGATCTAAAATCTAAATGGAGTGGAGAGATATAGCGTATGTATATGTGATAGGTAGGTTAGACTAACCTAGAAGGTGCTGTAAGAAGGGTAAACCCCCAATACTGCCAACTCATAGGTAGTGAGACACTTGTGTTTTTGGGAGATAACGTACGTAAGTGTCATGGGAGCAGATTTAATGTATTTTTGTATTTTTACAGTGTGGTTGTGAATCTCATAGAGTGTCAGTAAAAGTATCTGATAGTGCCTGATTATTACTGTGACAATGTCTGCAGGGTGGCTATTCGCTAAACACCAGATTTTGTCCAAATTCTGACCACAATGGCAATTCTCATATTTACTAAAGCAAAATACAGTAGAACCTCGGAACTCGAACAGTCCCATTCTCGAACAATTCGCAAGTCGAACACAAATTTTGAGTAAAAAATTATTCGATACCCAAACATCAAAGAGGTGCTCACTGGGGCCATGTGACCTCTCCAGCCAGCCTTCACCACATCCCCCCCAATCTCACTGGGTGGGAGCTGACCAGCTGGGAGCCCATGAGTGCACACTCCGCTCTCACTGGGATTACCTGAGTGTGCTCGGCGGCTAGCCGACAGTGAACTCACCATGGAAGACAAACTTTCCTAGGACATGGACCCAGGTACCTCCTCATTACCATCCTCTTCAGGGTCAGAGACCCTGTCTGAGGAGGACCCCGAAACCTCAACCAAGGGTAGCTGTACTGAGTGTGACTCTGAGGGTCCCCACTCGTCCCAGCAAGGGGGAGCAGAGAGTAAAGCTGCAGGGGGGCAGGACAGAGGAGAACAAGAGGAAGAATATCATTTGAGAATTCATTTTAATGCATACATATAGATGTAAAATGCTGTAATGGGGGTCTGGAACGGGTTCATCTATTTTTCATTAATTCTTATGGGAAATGTTGATTGGGTTCTTGAACAAATCGGAACTCGAACAGCTTTCTGGAATGGATTAAGTTCGAGTTCCGAGGTTCCACTGTACGGTCTGAATTCTGTCGGCCTGAGACAATCCTCTGGATGCATGCAGGGTCTGGATTAAAATCAGTGCTGTCACATGCAAATCCTATCCAAGTATAGGAATGAAAATATGCACAAAGCACTGGTTTTACAAACATTCTGAACCAAATGTGTCCAGTAGGAGGCACATTATCAACTGATCATTCACTTGCTTTTTGTAAGTGAATGATAAATGTATGTACTATTTGCCTGCTGGCAGTGCTTTAGTTAATAACCCTGTAAGTGTCTGAATGTGTTTGGTGAGTCTTATAATGTTTTACTGTGTCTAGGAATGTCTGAGTGTGTCTTATAAGTTCTACTGTGTCTCAGAATTTCTGAGTGTGTCTCTAGTGGATGGCCATAAGCTGTCCTGGGACTTGTATTATTTTTACCCTGTATTCGTCTATTTGCTAAATGTATATGCAGTAATGTAATGTATTCGTCTGATTGTTTGGTAGAATCATTCTAACAAATAAGGGAATGAAACTACCGAACAATCAGACCTCCCCGGTGTGAAGTGTGCCTTCAATTACCCGTTGCAATATTGTTGCGAACGGGTAATTGACAAGCTGTTTAGCAATTCTTTGTTCTCGGGGGTGGCCGCCATTCGGGAAACGAACACGTGGCGGCAGCCATTTTAAACTCCCGAACAGCGGTGTTTTGCCGTCGAGTGTCTGGAACTCAAAACGGACACTCAACTAGGCGAACACCACTGAGACCTCCATCAGCCCGGTCCGTTCGGTTCCAAACTACCGAATGGCCCCTCGTTCGGTAGGCATAATCAACCGAACGAGGGGATTCAGGCGAACCCTCCCCAGCCTCTATAGCTGGAGGCTTTCGGGTACTTTATTCTCCTTTTCCAGGACCGACCGCAGGGCCCCATCGCATGGAGCCCAATTCGGCTAGTTCTTCCAGTGCGGTCAGTGATTTTATTCCCTCCATGAAATTCCCGAACCCCTGGTCTGATCTGGGTGATTTTTGGATATGTTGTTCACCCAGATCAGAGCTACCAGGGGAAGCATAATTTAAAGTGGTACCCCTAGGTTTAGGGGTACATCCAAAAACAGGGGGAATTGCTGTACTGGATAAGGGGCTTATGATGCCGGCTGAGGGGAGGAGATGTGTGGGAGGTTACCAGGACAGGATTGGCTATTGTCATAATGAATGTAATCCCTCCCTTGCATGGGAGCATGCTTTAAAAGGCCACTGTGGAATAAAGCTTGGAGTTCTACTCCTGATACTGTGTGTCGTCCAGTTATTGGGAGTGCTGTTGGGATACTATTGGATTATTTTACCTGCTAGATACTTTGCCTGTGGATTTGTAACTGCTGTTCCTGAGCCTCACTTGGATCTACAAGTGGAGATAGGCTATGCAATAATATCTCTCCGCTACAGTGTCTTATAATGTTTTACTGGGTATAGGAAGGTCTGAGTGTGTCCTATAATTACCTTCCGAAGATCGAGAGGAGTGCTCCTCGGTGGTCTTCTGCCATGATGTCTGACATCTGCGGCATGTTAGTGCACGCCCGCTGCTGCAGACCCACGGAATTATCTAGCCCCACATCCGTCCACAGTAAAGATGACATCGACGTGCGGGTGACTTCACACAAAAGATGCACACGCCTGTTTTGGGGTCAAGGGCTAGCTACAGCCAATTAGATCTGCAGGAAGGTTATTTAAACTCACTTATTCCTTAGCTCATTGCCCTGTCGTTGTTTCCCTTAGATGGTTATCACAGAGTGTGTTCCTGGTCGTATTTTTCTGGTTTTGGACTTTGGCTTCGTTTTGACTTCCCTGATTTCTGGTACCCTTGACCTTTGGCTTTTCTTTATCGCTGTGTCTCGTTCTGTGTCCCTGACCTCGGCTATCTTTCTGACTATTCTCGGGTACGTTAAGTCTGGCCATTTTAAGGCCCGGTAAGACCTTTAGTTCTAGGGTGTGATACTATTCTGTGTGCTGGATCAATATAATCCTGACAGAAGGTTTGAGTGTGTCTTATAATGTTTTACTGTGTCTAGTAAAGTCTGAGTGTGTCTTATAATGTTTTACTGTATCTAGGAATGTCTGAGTGTGTCTTATAATGTTTTACTGTGTCTAGGAATGTCTGAGTGTGTCTTATAATGTTTTACTGTGTCCAGTAAGGTCTGAGTGTGTCTTATAATTTTCTAATGTGACAAGGAATGTCTGACTGTCTTATAATGTTTTACCGTGTCTAAGAAGGTCTGACTGAGTGTGTCTTATAATGTTTTACTGTGTCTAGGAATGTCTGAGTGTGTTTTATAATGTTTCATGGTGTCTAGAGAGGTCTGAGTGTGTCTTATAATGTTTTACTGTGTCTAGTAGTATCTGATAAAGTCTAAATGTGTGTATAAGTGCCAGAGTGTGTCTTTGAATTTCTGAATTTATCTAATACTAACATTTATTAGGAATATATCTTGGAATGTGTGTTTGTGCGTCTTTGAGAGTTTGTAAATGTCTAAATGACTCTGTAGCTTCTGGGAGCATATGCTGTTCGGATTTTTTTCTGACAGTGAGAATAGTGAATTAGTGAATAAGGCCCAAAAAAGCAAAAATATAAAAACTCTCCAAGTCAGCGATGCTTCCAGTTTCGTTACTTTGGCCTTACACTTGAAATTTACATTTACTTTTTAATTCACTTTGCATTCCTGAAAATGTTCACTTTACTGAATAACACTGTGTGTGTTTGTTAGCAAGAGAATTTATAGTATCTGTTAGTGTGTGTGTGAGAGCTCCGAAAGGACATTAGTTAGATTTAATAAATAGTTTTGGAGAATCTCCGTGTGACAGTTACATTTAAAGAAATAGTGAATAAACCTCTCAGTATTGAAAGTTGCAAAGAGCTGATCTGAAACAAACCTGGTTAGATAACTTGCTTAAATATATGTAGTTTAACTATCACATCATCTGTTGTGTGTACCTGGCTTCAAGCAGGACTATATGTAGGAAATTCGAGACAATTTATTGCATTGCAACTGATGCCCAAAACCCCACCTGGCTGATCTGCTTATCACTGCTAATAAATCTTTTTATTCTGTTCAACTTGAGGACTTATTTCGCAACCAATGTGCGGACAACATGCGATTTCCATCAAGCTTCACTATGTTTTATTTCTCACCTTCTCCTTGGAGCTGACAGCCTCTCAAACACATCAACTTTACAGCTTTTCTTCGTGATAGATTGCGGAGCTTGCGGAGCAGCTGAAATTAGATAACATTCCATTCTACCAACTTGCCATTTTATATCCAAGTCACTTTCCGTACTGACCAGCAAATTGTTCCATTCAGAAAAACTAATACCTTAACACAATGAAAGCGTGAAGAGTAAATTACTATTAGAGTCTATTAGTCAAAGCCTGACTTGAGAAGAGTGCACTCAGCAGGTGGTAATGAGTATCGTCACTTATCAACTTGGCACCTTGGCTTTCGTTTGTTTTCTCTTCTTTTGACACTTTGAATTACTTAAAGAAACCCTGTAGGCACTGTGTCTACTTCATCTCATTAAACTGGTTATAGTGTCTGGAGTTCCCTGGTTCTGTCATTTCATTCAGCATTAAACAGTTTTTAATGTTTTTATGTTTTAATGCAAAACAAGAGTCCCCGACATTCCATCCTCTCTGTGCTGCTTTGGATAATGAGGAAGTATTAGCCTAAGCAGTAATGGGCAGCTGTGATTGGCTGAGAGTGTCAGCTGACTGCTTTTAGTCTATCATAGGTCCAACTGATTGTAGGAATGTGTACAACAACATGGAAGTGTGTTAGCTCTGCCCCAGCCACACCTTCAGAAAGGGCCGGGCTGTGGGTGGCTAGGGACTCTCATTTAGTATTAAACTGCTTTAAAGTGGTTTAACATTAAATGGAGAGACATTTCTAGGGAACTCCATGCACTCTAACCAATTCAAAGAGATAAAATACAGTGAATACAGTGTCATTGTAATTTTCTTAGATTAAGGTCTTAATCTAGCTAAGTAGTTAACTTAAGCTAGTATAAAAACATAGAATGTGACGGCAGATAAAAACCATTCAGCCCATCTAGTCTGCCCAATATTTCAAAATACTTTCATTAGTCCCTGGCCTTATCTTAAGTCTAGGATAGCCTTATGCCTATACCACGCATGATTAAACTCCCTTACTGTGTTAACCTCTACCACTTCAGCTGGAAGGCTATTCCATGCATCCACTTCCCTTTCAGTAAAGTAATACTTCCTGAAATTATTTTTAAACCTTTGCCCCTCTAATTTAAGACTATGTCCTCTTGTTGTAGTATTCTCCTTCTTTTAAATATAGTCTCCTCCTCTACTGTGTTAATTCCCTTTATGTATTTAAATGTTTCTATCATATCCCCCCGCCTCGTCTTTCCTCCAAGCTATACATGTTAAGTTCCGTTAACCTTTCATTGTAAGTTTTATCCTGCAGTCCATGAACCAGTTTAGTAGCCCTTCTCTGAACACTTTCTAGAGTTTCAATATCCTTCTGGAGATATGGTCTCCAGTACTGTGTACAATACTCCAAGTAAGGTCTCACCAGTGTTCTGTGCAATGGCATGAGCACTTCTCTCTTTCTACTGCTAATACCTCTCCCTATACAACCAAGCATTCTGCTAGCATTTTAAGCTGCTCTATTACATTGTCTGCCTACCTTTAAAAGGACACTATAGTCACCAAAACAACTTTAGTTTAATGAAGGGGTTTTGGTGTATACATCATGCCCCTGCAGTCTCACTGCTCAATTATTGGCAATTTAGGAGTTAAATCACTTTGTTTATGAACCCTAGTCACACCTCCCTGCATGTGACTTGCACAGCCTCCCTAAACACTTCCTGTAAAGAGTCATCTAAAGTTTATCCTTCCTTTATTGCAAGTTCTGTTTCATTTAGATTTTCCTGTCCCCTACTATGTTAATAGCTTGCAAGACCCTGCAAGAGCCTCCTGTATGTGATTAAAGTTCAATTTACAGAGAAAGAGATACAATTGTTTAAGGTAAATTACATCTGAATGAAAGTGAAACCAGTTTTTTTTTTTTGTGTGTGTGCAGGCTGTGTCAATCAGGTGTGGCAAGGGCTGCATAAACAAAAACAAAGTGATTGAACTCCTAAATGGCCAAGATTTGAGCAGTGAAAAGAGGCATGATCTATACACTAAAACTGCTTCATTAAGCTGAAGTTGTTTAGGTGACTATAGTGTTCCTTTAAGTCATCTGAAATAATTACTCCTAAATCCCTTCCCTCAGTTGTTGAGGGTATCAAAAATCCTATACTCCGCCCTTGGGGTTTTACGTCCAAGGTGCATTACCTTGCACTTATCTATATTAAATGTCAGTTGCCACAGCTCTGACCATTTTTGACCATTTTTCTGATTGTTTTCTAAACCATTTTCCATTCGGCTTATTCCTCCTGGAACATCAACCCTGTTGCAAATTTTAGTATCATCGGCAAAAAGACATACCTTACCATCAAGACCTTCTGCAACATCACAAAAATATTAAAGAGAATGGGTCCAAGTACAGATCCCTGAGGTACCCCACTGGTAACTAGACCTTGCTTCGAATATACTCCGTTGACTACAACCCTCTGTTGCCTGTCATTTTGCCACTGCCTAACCCATTCAAAAATATTGGAATCCAAACTTAAATATTGCAGTTTATTGATGAGCCTTCTATGTAGAACGGTGTCAAAAGCCTTACTGAAATCTAGGTAAGCAATGTCTACTGCACCACCCTGATCTATTATTTTAGTTACCCAATCAAAAAATCAATAAGATTAGTTTGGCATGATCTCCCTGAAGTAAACCCATGTTGTCTCTGATCTTGAAATCCATGTGATTTTACATGTTCAACAATCCTATCCTTTAACATGGTTTCCATCACTTTCCCAACTACTGAAGTAAGGCTTACTGGCCTATAGTTGCCCGACTCCTCCCTGCTACCTTTCTTGTGAATGGGCACAACATTCGCTAACTTCCAATCTTCTGAGACTACTCCTGTTAACAATGATTAGTTAAATAATAACTTTAAAGGTTTTGCTAGTACACCACTAAGTTCTTTTTTAAATAACTTTGGGTGTATTGCATTAGGCCCCATCAACTTATTTGTATTTACTTTCGACAGTTGAAAAAGAACCTCTTCCTCTGTAAACTCACATATAACAAAGGACTCATTTGTCCTTTTTCCTAACTGAGGCCCATATCCTTAATTTTAATCTGTAAATACTGAACAAAAATATTAATTGAGGCAATCAGCTAGACCTTTATCCTCTTCTACATGCATTCCTTCATTTGTTTTTAATGTAACTAATCCTTGTTTTACTTTCCTTTTCTAATTTATGTATCTAAAAATTGTTTTATCCCCTTTTTTACTGACTGTGCTATTTTCTCTTTTGCTTTGGAGGCTCTTATAACTTGCTTAGCCTCTTTCTGCCTAATCTTATAGATTTGTCTGTCTTTCTCACTCTGGTTTTTTTTTTATAATTACTAAATGCTAACTTTTAGTTTTTTTACTATTTTGGCCACATCTGCGGAGTACCACAGTGGTTTCTTAACCCCTTAAGGACACAACTTCTGGAATAAAAGGGAATCGTGACAGAATATTTCCGTCATGTGTACTTAAGGGGTTAATTTTTTTGCTTTTACTTACAAGCCTAATGCAATTTTCTGTTGCCTTCAGTAGTGCAACTTTTAAATAATCCCATTTCTCCTGTACTCCATTTAAACTCCTCCAGTCTGACAAGGACTCCTTTATGCACATTCTAATATTAGAAAAGTCTGTTTTTCTAAAGTCTAAAACTTTTGTTTTTGTGGGGTGTGACTCAGTCACTGTTCATATATTAAACCACACTGACTGATGATCACTGGATCCTAAACTTTCACCTACAGTAATATCTGATACCAAATCTCCATTTGTATACACTAAATCTAGTACGGCCTCCTTACAAGTTGGTTCCTCAGCGAGTTGTTTTAGAGACAATCCCAGTAGGGAGTTTAGAATATGTGTGCTCCTTGCACAAGCAGCTATTTTGGATTTCCAGTTAACATCAGGAAGATTAAAGTCACCCATGATGATAACTCATGGGCGACTTTAATCTTCCCGATGTTAACTGGAAATCCAAAATAGCTGCTTGTATGTTTATTAAAAAATTTATAAAACGTATCAATGTGAACTACGACTACTTTTTATTATCCTTACAAATTATATATATAAATGCTACTTTTTTATCAGATTGGGAGGCACTTATCTCTCTATTTTCTCTGTTTCTTCAGCCTGTGTGCACTTGTTTTCATGGACACACATTAATTTATTGTGATGGACAACAAGTAAAACATGTTAGTTTGCTGTAATGCACATGTCCAATATTGACGGACTAGGCACTCTTAGCAAATGTATTATTATTATTGGTATTTACATAGCGCCAACTAATTCCGTAGCGCTTTACAATGTTATGAAGGGGGGGGGGAGGAATTTACAATAAATTAGACAATTACACAGTGACACAGGAACAATTGGTAGATGAGGGCCCTGCTCAAACGAGCTTACAGTCTAGAGGAGGTGGGGTACAAATACACAACAGGGCAGCAAGGGTGACACCCACCAAACAAGGTGGAAAAGTAGCAGAGCTGGAGATGAGAGTGGAATATGGCTCTTTATGAGAGCAAGAGACAGATATGGATAAGTATAGATACGTTATTCTTGGAATCCATAAGCATTTCTGAATAGATATGCTTTGAGGCACTTCTTAAACAATTGAAGACTAGGGGAGAGTCTGATGGGGGTAGGCAGGCTGTTCCAAAGGAAGGGAGCTGCCCATGAGAAGTCCTGCAAGCGCACGTTAGCAGTAAGGGTGCTAGCAGCGGACTGGAGAAGATCACTGGCAGAGCGGAGAGACCGAGAAGGGGCATATCTTTGAATCAGTGCTGAAATGTAACAGGGGCTAGTGTTGTTTAGAGCTTTATAGGTAAGGGTTAATATTTTGAATTGACACCTATAGGATACAGGAAGTCAGTATAAGGTTCGACAGAGGGGTATGGGAGAAGCGACGGGTGGGAAAGATCAGTCTGGCGGCACCATTCATTACAGATTGTAGTGGGGCAGTTCTGCTTCTGGGGAGACCAACTATGAGAGAATTACAGTAATCCATGCGAGAGATTACCAGAGCATCAACAAGCTCCTTGGCAGCATCTTGCATGAGAAAGAGGCGGATGCGGGCGATGTTTTTAAGGTGGAAACCGGTAGGTTTTAGCAACATACTGCATATGAGGCGCAAAGGTGAGGCCAGGATCAAAGATAACACCAAGACAACGGGCTTGCAAGGATGGACAAGACAACGGGCTTGCAAGAATGGACTGATGCTAGTACCATTGCAGGCAAAGTGAAGGAGGAGAATCGGCACTATGTGAGGGGAAAATAAGAGGCTCGATTTTAGAGAGATTGATTTTCAGAAAGCGGGAGGACATTCAATCAGAGATTGAAGAAAGGCAAGCAGTGACACATTGTAGGACTGTGAGGGAGAGATCAGGGGAGGAGAAATATATCTGGGTGTCGCCGGCAATCCAAAGGAGTTAATGAGTTTGCCAAGAGAAGCAGTATAATGAGAAAGCAGAAGGAGACCAAGAACAGATCCTTGGTGGACTCCAACCGAGACAGGGCAAGAGGAGGAGGTGTCATTGCAAGAGGAGACACTGAATGAACGTTGCGAGAGACAGGAGAAAAACCACAAGAGGACAGACCAGGGATTGAAGAGTTTGGAGAAGGACATGATCTACAGTGTCAAAGGCGGCAGAGAGGTAAAGAAGAATTAGTATGGAGTAGTGGACTTTGGATTTAGCTGTGATTAGGTCATTTATAACTTTAATAAGAGCAGTCTCAGTAGAGTGGAGGGGGCAAAAGTCAGATTGAAAAGGATCGAGGAGGGAGTTGGAATTTAGGAACTAAGTCATATGAGTAAAGACAAGTCTTTCTAGAAGCTTTGAGGAAAAAGGAAGCAGGGACATGGGACGATAGTTGGGAGGGGAAGATGGGTCCAGGGATGGCTTTTTTAGGATAGGTAAGACAATTTTCCAGAAGTGCTACCTCTGGCTGTTCCTGCAGGGTTTGGTACTGTGAGTCCTTGGAGTAGCTTTTGAAATGCTGTATAGGGCCCAGGCTATAAGAGAGAATCTGGCGTTAGATAAGACAGATTGTGGGTGGGGAAGCATTGCGGTGGTACGAACAATTTGGAAACGACTCACTCAAATTGATGCATCTGAGTCAAATTCAGGCCAAACCATTTCATCCACGCAGAGCACCATGATAACTACATCGCACACACGTCATTCTGGTCATCATCCATTCTACAGTAATGCAATACTTATGCAATCTTTTCTCTTAACTAGTTGGCATCCTTCCTTGAACAATACCAGTGCGCCAATCTGACGCAATAATGGCGTAAGTGTCTAGTCCTATATAAATCCTTTCTTACTCCTAAACTTTGTGGGCTCTAGACCCTTATGCACGTTATTCTGATCCTGGTTGCTATTCCGGTGTTTCTGTGTACCAGACCTGGCTCGTCCCTGACTCTATCCTTGACTTGCCCTATGTTCTGACCTGGTTCGCATTAACTGCGTTCTGTCTTACTTTGGCCTGCTTATTTGTTTTATACTAGCGCTGATATTTCCTATTTCTGCCTAGAATTAACTGCAGCCATTCTAAGATCCAGTAATATGTCTGTCAATCCTTTTTCTCTGTGCCTTTTGGGTAGTTTGCTGACTTGCTATTAGAGCTGTGCTTAACCCAGCAATGTGAGCATAGCAGTTTCTAAAAAACTGCAATGTTTTACACTGCAAGGTTTAAAATAAAGGACTACTGCACTGAGATGAAGTGGCCTGGGTGTCTTTCATGGTCATTTAAGAATGCCTATGGTGCTGAAGAGAAAGGAACTAATTTCATTAACCAATTTCTATCCTGTAGTATATAAAGTCTACATACTAGAGGGCAAACATTTTCCTGAGTATGAAGACTATATATACCTCCAGGAATGTATGGTGAATGTCATCTATCACAAAGTTAACATACCAGGTTTGTGTCTGAATGATGCTTGTTCTCTGTATCCAGGCAGATAGTAATCCAGCTTCCAGTTCAGTTCCCACTTTGATTTCTCACCCTATAAGCATATAAAAAAACAAAATAACATTGAGACTGTATTTCTGCTCTAGAACAAGGATCTACGTACATACATACATATTGTTTAATTAACAGCTGGCTTGATTGTGAGGAATTCTATATATTTATGATTATTTTAAAACATAGCATTTTAAGGCACTGAGGATGGCGATTTGGAATAGTGATCAAGAGGAATGCTTTTGTTAAAAGTAATTTGTCATCTTCCCAAATTATAACATCTTCTGGGGAATGATGGACTTGTGACATATGAATTATTTTGCATATTAATATGACAAGGCCATGCTGCCCTTTAAATTGGGATGCTGCTATTACGATCACATATTCCTTGATGCAATGAACTTACCAAAGTCTCCTTCTGGTATAATAAATCTTCTATCTCATTCTGTGTATCTTGAAGATCTCCCTCGGACAGTATTGGTTTTATTTTTTGGGGGGTATAGCAATGACATCTTAGCTGTAGAAAATGATATATATATATATATATAAATATCCCAACATGAATGCATTATGTCAACAAAGAAGTAATTAACAAAATAATTCTATGTAGTTTATATTAGACTTGGCATCCCAAATCCATCTGAACTTGAGGTCATTCATTCATTAGTCAAAAACTAAATTAGACAAAAAAAAAATATATAAAAAGTGAAATGCGTGGTGATGCAAGTCATTTATTCATAATTTGACAATATAATTACAAAGAGAGTTACAGAACTGCGCACACCACTAGCACTTACTGTTTGAGAGTCATCTTTGAAAATAATGATGTTAATGAAATTTGGACAAACACAAAATTTTCAATACAAACAAAAGCAGAAATAATTCAGAAATGATGTGAATGAACTGAAACTTCTTCAGTGTCTTATATCATCTGTATAAACAGCTTCATAGTGAACTGCCTCAACAGAGCATATGGACTGGGTATTACAATATAATATTTTCTGGACAGATCTGGGGTGGGATAAATATGGTAGGAGCAATAAAAAAGCTACTGAATAAGATAATAAATCACCTAGCTGGATGTAAAAATGAAGCTATCCTTCATGAAATGCGTTAGGTTTGATACTGTAAAGCCTCTACCCTATGGAGTAGCTGGAACACAGTAGATCTCACAGGAGGACTGCCCCTGGATCACATTTCAGGATTAGTTCCGGCGATAGATCCATATCCAACACCAATAGGGAGATACAAGTATCGCTCCTGATAGGCGATTTATACTGCTCCGTTCTGTACGTTATTATTTTGTGTTTGCAATAAAGGTGATTCTACAGTGCACTATGGATCCGTGATTTTCATTTCAGACTCTGTGTCCACCATTATGGATCATCATCTATAACCATCATCAGTATTGGACTGTATATGAACTCTCATTTATTCTATACAATATATAGACTTATTTATACAATGTCAATTGATTGATGCATATTTTTTAAAAAAAAAACAGATATAAGCATCCTTCAAAAAAGTAGTCATTTCATGCACATTTTACCATAGATTTAGTCTCCAGGTTAATTACCTCAACATAGTTGTGTTTTGTGATTTTGCTGTGGTAGATTTATTAGAAGTAGCAGGTAGAAAAAAAAATAGTTTAGTGCTTATATATATATATATATTTATATTTATATATATATATATATATATATATATATATATCCTGTGCATTATAGTTGTATTACTGTGATGCTATAATAAAGTCATTTTTAATGCTGTAGTGCAATTTGATTCACTCGTACATTTAGCACACTCATATAAATGTTATTGCTGTAGAGCACTGACACACCCTACACACCATAACATACTATGCTTGTATTGATGTGGCAATCTAATACACCTGTACTGTGCTTTCATTGTTATAGAACTCTGATACACCTATTCTATAACTTAATATGCTTTTGTTGCCGTGGTGATCTGATATGTCTGTACAATGCTTTTATTGCTGTGGAACTTTGATACACCTATACTATAGCTGACAATGCTTTTATTGCCATGGTGATCTGATAAGTAAATACAATGCTTTTATTGCTGTGGAACTTTGATACACCTATACTTTAACTTAATATGCTTTAATTGCTGTGGAACTCTGATACACCTATACTATAACTTACTATGCTTTTATTGCCATGGCGATATGGTACGTCTATACTATACTTTTATTGCTATAGAACTGTGATACACCTATACTGTAGCTGACTATGCTTTTATTGCCATGGCGATCTGATACGTCTATACTATGCTTTTATTGCTGTGGAACTCTGATACACCGATACTATAATTTACTATGCTTTTATTGCCATAGCGATCTGATACGTCTATACTATAGCTGACTATGCTTTTATAGCCATGGCGATCTGATAAGTCTATACTGTGCTTTTATTGCCGTGAAGCTCTGTGACCATTTTTTCACACCATATATTACGGTGAGTTTGGTTGCCGTGGAGTTGTGACAACTGTATACATCACACATGGTGTACATTCTATTGTGGTGTCACATGCCCCATGCCGGGCTCAACAATCATCCTTCCCCATGCCACCTCAACCCACACACCAGATGCTCCATATACCACTTGTTCTTACCCTATGCGATCAATGTTGGGCTGGGAGAGAGCAGAGCTCTGTATCCAGCTTCCTTCAGTCACGTCTCAAAGTTGCCGTTACTAGCCTTATTTCTCTCTCTCTCTGCGCTTATTTCTCATCTTTCCCATACTTCTCTCTCTCCCCTTCTCTCTCCTTCTCTATCGAACCTATCAAGTCCTATGTTTTTCTCCCCAGACACATCCTTCTCCCACTTCAGCCATATGTCTTACCCTACCATCCCATCTATTATTTTCTCCACAGCATATACCAGAACAATAGTATTTCCTATCTGTAGGAGTCTGTATACGTTACAGCAAGGCTGAGCATACACCAATGATTGCTGGTGATCCATTGGAACTGCATGCACTCATTATGTTATTACAATAAATATTTTTTGGGGAAAATAGGGCTCCAGTCACAATCAGCAAAGAACAAACAGTTAATGTACCAAATTTCAAAACTATATTTTTTCAATGTATCTAATGTGCTTCTATATAGCTCAAAGCTAATCTATAAATGTTGTAGTTTTCATAAAATACATATGAAAAAGTAGGGGCTTAATTTACTGAGGTATAGTATTCAAGTTGACAAAATTGACAATCGACACAAAATTGTAATGGCAGCCACTATTTCACCATTCATTATTTAGTAAATAATACACTGATCAGCCACAACCTTAAAACCAGCGATGTACCTACAGCATTTAACAGCCTTTCAAGAATATTTATTGCACAGATTTGTAAACCTGTACAAAACCTCTGCCCACTTCTAAAAAAAACATGCACCTCCCCTTCATGAAAAATCTTGCCCAGTCTCCTTCACAAAAATCCCTGCCCCCTTCTACAAAACCTCTGTTCCCCCTTCTACAAAATCCCTGCCCCTTACAAAACTGCTGGCTAGCCCCCCCTTCTACAAAACTCCTGCACCTCGTTCAGAAAAACCCCTGCCCAGCCCCCCTTCTATAAAGACACTATATAAAGAATACTATACTCCTGCCCCCTTTACAAACCCCCACCTCTCTTCAGAAAAAGCCCTGCACCTCCCTTCAGAAAAAAAGTCAGCACCCTGCCCTACCTCCCCTTATACAAAACCCCTGTCCAGACTTCCCTTCTACAAAACCCCTGCACCCCCTCTTCAAGAACCCTGCTCCCCTCTACAAAACCCCTGCCTTCTCTCTACAAAGAAATCATCTCCTCACCTTCTTCACAAAAATCCTGCCCCAACCTTCTTCATAAAAACCCTGCCCCCACCTTCTTTACAAAAACCCTGCCCCTACCTTCTTCACAAAAAACCCTGCCCCTACCTTCTTCACAAAAAACCCTGCTCTCTCTTCTTCACAAAAACTTCTGCCCCCCTCTTTTTCACACAAAACCCTGACCCCCCCTTCTTCACAGAAATCCCTGACACTTTTTTACAAAGAACTCTTCCCCTCTATTCACAAAAACCTCCTGACCCGCCTTTTTCACAAAAACTCCTGCTGCCACTTCTTCACAAAAACCCGTGCCAGTAATATCCATTTTAAAAATAAAAACAAAACCACAAAATGTGCAAGCAGACACTCACAGCTTGCTGCTCTGGCCTCAAGGATCTTCTGCCACGGTGATGCACATAGTAGCAGAGCAGATCCTTCTACTGCTGCTCAATATACATCGACGTCACAGCAGCATGGCGTTTTGTGCCGTTACGCGCCTCCACGCTCCTCCTCCTCAAAAATAATGCTGCCTGGCCTACACGGGTTGATGGCAGTCATGGCACCCCCATAATGTATGGCACCCTAAAATATTCCCCAACGTACAGCCAACAGCTCTGATGCATCCAGGCATTGACGCCACAAGACCTCTGAACATGTTCTGTGGTATCTGGCACCAATCCTATAAGTCCTACAAGTGCACAGAGGCTCAATCGGACTGAGATCTGGGGAATTTGGAGTCCACAGCAACACCCTGAATTCTTTGTCATGTTCCTCAAACCATTCCTGAACACTTCTTGCAGTGTGACAGGGTGTATTATCATGTTGAATGAGGCCACTGTCATCAGAGAACACCATTGCCAAGCAGTGGTGCACGTGGGCTGCAATAATCTCTAGGTAGGTGCTACATGTCAAAGTAGCATCCATATAAATGCCAGGACCCAATGTTTCCTATCAGAACATTGTATAGAACACTGCTCTGGCTGGTCTGCCTTCTTCCCATAGTGCATCCTGTGCCATCGTGTGCCCAGGCGAACAAAGAAAAATCACCCAGCCATCCACCTGCGATGAAAGAAAGCATGGTTCATCAGATCAGGCAACCTTCTTCCATTGCTCTATGGTCCAGTTCTTGCACTCATGTCCCTGTTGAAGGCACTTTCAATGGACAGAGTCATCATGGGTGCCCTGACCAGTCTGCGGCTATGGAGCCCCATACGCAGCAAACTGCGATTCACTGTGTGTTCTGACACCTTTCTGTCATGACAAGCATTGAATTTTTCAGCAATTCAGTAGCTCATCTGTGTGGTTGACTGGCTAGCTTCACATGCATCAATAAGCCTTGGGCGCCAATGACCCTAACTCCAGTTCAACGGCTGTCCTTCCTTGCCTCACTTTTGGTTGGTACTAACCACTGCATACTGGGAACACCCCACATGACTTCCCGTTATGGAGATGCTCTGACCCAGTCGTCTAGCCATCACTATTTGGCCCTTGTTAAAGCCATTCAGATCTTTTTGCTTGCCTATTTTTTTCTGTTTCCAACACATGAAATTCAAAAACAGACTGTTCACTCGCTGCCTGATATATCCTACCACTTGACTGGTGCCATTGTAACAATATAACCAATGTTATTCACTTCACCTGTCAGTGTCAGTGGTTTTAATGCTGTGGCTTGTAAGTGTATATGTTATGTATATGTAATTACATATTAAGACTATAGCACATATAAAAGCATATTAATCATCAATAAAAAGAAAGTAAAAGGCCAGACAGAGAGGTTAAAGCATAAATAAACCATTATATAACATGTATGTTAGTAAAGTGTATGTCATTGAAATGATCAATTCACATAATAGAAATTAATCTAACTAGAGAGTTTCCCCCTGGAACACTAAGGAAGGGGGAGCATGACTGCTGCCCAAGATTGTGGACTGGGTCAATAAAGCAACATTTGTATCAAAGTTGGGGTTCTTAAGAAAAGGGAGAAGGATGGGACTTACCAGTGGGCAGGATCAGTTGAGGGCACCTGACTGTTTTCCTGGCTGACTGTCCCCTGTAATACAAGTATAACAAACTGTAGTTCTCCTTAGTGACCCCTTCCCTGGTACTATTTACTCTGCCCACTACCCCTGTCATGGCTACTCCGATTTCCCCAGAAACTGTATTGCAGAGGCTCCAGCAATCCTACCTGGAGGTGCACGGCCAGGGTACCCCGGATGAGCTTGTGTCAGGCGTGAGGACCGTTGGCCCAGCTGAGGGAAAGATGACTGGTTGGACTGATGTTCCTGGAGGACCAAGAGATCGAGGCCTCCGATCTCCCAGCCCGGTGCGGCACAGCGAGGGGAGGCGAGGTGGCGGCCCGGCCACGCACCCTGAGCGGCCATCTGTACCTGGGAGACGGTGGACTCGGGCTGGTGAAATCGGCGGTGCACTGGCCCAAGATGGCGGCGGCAACAATGGTGGGATTCCCCGTCGTTGGCTGACAATCTGCATTTGGTGATGGGCAAGAAAGCGATTTTGGAGGATAAACTTAGGAAGGAAGTTCGGTTGGGTAGGATGGCCGGTCCGTTTGACTCGTTGCCATTTTACAATTTATGGGTCTCTCCCCTGAGATTGGTGCCCATGAAGGACCCGGGGTCTTTTTGTCTCATTCATCACCTGTCCTACCCATCGGGCGGGTCAGTGAATGATGACATTGATAAGGAGGTATCGCGTGTCCGATACGTCTCCTTTGATCGGGCATTAGAGTTGGTGCGGGAGGCTGGGATGGGTGCTCAGCTGGCCAAGTCGGACATCAAGTCCACCTTTCGGCTACTCCCGGTCCACCCTGACTGCTTTCACTTGTTGGGTTGTCGATTTCAAGGTTCCTTCTTCTTCGATATGTGTTTGCCAATGAGTTGTGCTATTTCTTGTTCCTATTTTGAAAAGTTTGCATCGTTTCTTGAATTGGTGGTTTCTCGGGTATCGGGCCTGTCGTCTCTTACTCACTATCTGGATGATTTTCTGTTTGTGGGCCTGCAGGTGTCGGATGACTGCGCGGTGCTGCTGGATTCCTTTCATGAGGTCTCTTCGGACTTTGGAGTCCCGGTAGCGGAAGAGAAGACAGTGGGGCCGGTAGGGGTTCTGTCTTATTTGGGGATTGAAGTGGATACCCTGATCATGTTTTTTTCGGTTGCCAGAGGATAAACTGAGTCACTTGCTCCGGTTTGTGGACTAAGTAAAGGGTGCTAAGAAAGTTCAGATCCGGCAGTTGTAGGTATTGTTGGGGCATCTGAATTTTGCCTGTCGGGTTTTATCGATGGGCAAGGCGTTTAGTCGGCGTTTGTCCTTGTCGACGGTCGGGGTTAAGCAGCCTTTCCACTTTATTCGGATCAATCGGCGGCATCGGGAGGATCTCCAGGTGTGGAGTTCCTTTTTGGGTATGTATAACGGGCAATCCTGCTGGCTTTGTCCGGCAGTGTCCAACAGGGATTTGGAGTTATACACCGATGCATCCAGCTCCGTGGGCTTCGGTGCCTACTTTCAGGGGCACTGGTGCGCGGAGACGTGGCCTCACCAGTGGCAGGAGATGGATTTGTTGGGCAAATTAACCTTCTTGGAACTATTCCCCATAGTAGTGGCAGTTGAGCTGTGGGGTGGAGAGTTGGCTAATCGGAAGGTGGTTGTTCACACGGACAATATGAGTGTGGTTCATGTGATCAACCGCTCCACGTCTGCGTCCCATCCAGTGTTGGTACTCCTCAGGCATTTGGTTTTGCTTAGTTTATTGCATAATTTGTGGCTAGTTGCACATCATGTGCCTGGGGAGCTAAATGTTATAGCCGACTCTCTTTCTCGGTTTCAGTGGGACCGGTTTCGAGTGGTGGCTCTGGAGTTGGCGCGGACTGGAACCTCGTGATCGGCAGGTGTATGGGACCTGGTTTCCGACATTTGAGTCGGTTAGTGAGGGTGTCATTGTCGGAGTCATCATTGAGGTCGTATTCGGTCGTATGGTGGAGCTAGAGGGAGTTCGGTGCTACCAGGGACACTTCCTAAGACACAGGTAGGGTGGCAGCAACGCTGGCCTTATTGGATTCGCTTTGCGCTGTGGTAAGTTGGCCGTTGTGGTTGAAAGACATTTGGCGGCCCATCATTTCTGTTTCAGTGGTGCGGGTGGCTGGATGTTACCAAGGCGCTTTGCCTCTCGCTGGTCATGAAGGGCTGGAAGAAAGGCCATAGGCCTGACTCTCGGCATCCTATTTCCTATGGGATCTTGTGCAGACTCTTAGAATTTTTGCCCCAGGTTTGTTCCTCGGACTGTGAGGTTTGTCTGTTTTGGGCCGTGTTCGCCCTCTGTTTCTTTGGGGCTCTCCGAATAGTGGAGCTAGTGGCGCCCAGTACTCGGGCTACGACTGCCATGCTACTGTTGGATGTCAAGGTTACCGTGAGTGACATGATGTTGATCATTCGTAGGTCCAAGACTGATCAGGGAGGAACAGGTGATCGAGTTCGGGTGAGTGCGACAGGCAGTCCATTCTGTCTGGTGCGGTTACTACGAGAGTTCCTTGGGGTCCGAGGGTTAGTGGTTGGTTCCTTGTTACGTCATCAGGATAGGTCGTCCCTCAGTCGTTTTCAATTTGCTTGAGTACTTCGGTCTTGCGTGGTGGGGATTGGGTTGTCCCCGGGCTGTTACACTACTCACTCCTTTAGAATAGGGGCTGCCACGCAGGCGGGTTTGATGGGCTCCATGCAGAGGCGCTTAAATGTTTGGGGCGCTGCAGTCTGGACGCTTTCAACTCTACGTGCGCCCCCACTTGCTGTAGGTCAGCGGCTCAGCTAGTGCATGGTTATATGTTCTGTTATAGTTTTAGGTGTGGCTCCTCGCTTTGTATGGATCGTGGGACACTCGTTCATTTATTGGGCAGCTAGGCGGGTCGAGAATAGACAATATGGCCGTAACTTATGGTTTTCGTACAATGAGGCCCAGGTACGTTGGAGGGGTGTTCGGGGTTTGACTTGGGACGGGTTTTGAATTGGGACCTGGCCCGCTGTTTTGTGTTGTTTAAGGATCTGACCCTCGTCTGGTCCAAGATTGTTCCACGTCCGGTTTGGCATAGTGGCGGGTATGGAAAGTATTTGGAGCGCTATGGGCGTTAAGTCAACATTACTATTTCCTGGTTTGAATGCCACTTGGGTGGCATAGTGGTTAGGCACTTTGAGCTGCAGTGGGTGAATGACAACGTGATGCGACAGAATGGGGTTCATTTGTCCCCCATAGGTTTGGACATTTTTAATCAGGGATTGAGGCTGCACTGTAAGCGGGGCGATGCCCGATTTCCTGGACAATGCAGCTGGAAAAGGCACTTTGGGGAGATGACAGCCTGCACGGAGTTGATGGCGAGTAGCCGGCTGTTAAGACTCATGGAACACAATCTGGGAGAACTGTCTGTTGGGCAACCACCCAACAGCTGACAGAGTTGGACAGCGTTTTAAAACTGGTTATGTTAAATAAAGCTGTGGCCATTGCCCTTATCCACTATAATAATGTGTCATATGTGTTTTATTGGGGTGCAACGGTTGGGGGGACTGGTATGGGTCAGCAGTCATGTGTAAACATAGGTAATATTGACTTACAAATCTGAATTGTTAAATCAACCACCACAAAACAAAGATTTTTCTATGTCAAACCCCATCCACTACCACCATCTCTGTGCATTAAATACGCTAATGTCAATCACAGGTGATATGTGCATGTACAGGGTGAGTCTACTGTGTTGTCTAGTTTCCATGGTGACAACTTAGAAAGCAAGCTGTTTGCTGTTTTTATATGCAAGTTGCTAATTGGTGAACGCCAAGCATCTGTAGGGGTGGGCGTATTAGCAGTATGCCAAAGCTACAAAATATGGGCTTGGGGACGAGGTTAGAAAATAGTCTGTATTTTTTGGCCTGCACATATCTACCAGCTAGTAATTACAACAATAAATGTCTAATAATAACAACAACAGCTTAAATCTCTTTTAAACAACCACTTTGGAGACAAAAAAGAGTAAAGAGTTAATTTCGACCCTTCTGTTTCTAATAGAATAAATTTAATATGCTTCAAGCACACTTTCTCCCAGTGAAACGGCCAGGTGTACACTGTTCTGTATGGCTTCCCTTCTTTGCACAGTCATGCTGTTTTAGAGGCAGATTTTGAAATGGTACAAAACAGAAATTCTTTCATCTACAGAATGCTCAAAGTACTTAGATTTTATTTGCCCAGGATATGAATTTTATTTTTCACTGGGTACTTGCGTTAAAGCTAAAAAAGTTTAAATAACGTTCAATGTCACTTTAACCCAGGTATTGTATTTTACCATGAGCATCAAAATTGATGCGTGAAAAGTTATTTTAATATTAATAATAATAATAATAATTTTACAGCATTTTTCTCTTTGTGGGCCTTAAAGCATTTTACAGATATACATATAGACAAATTGATTATCAATGCTATTTCTTTGGCCAAAGTATCACCCATCATATCTGTCAGTATCAGTCCTAGGAGGCTTTTAATCCAGCACTGCAAAAGAAGCATCGACAGACAGATGTGAGCTAAAATGCCTAAGGAAAAATATGAGCCTTCTTTTTAAGTGTTCTTTTAAATGCCTCAAGTGACGTGACCTATCTGACTAAATGCAGGAGATGAGGTATGGAAATACCATGCCTTAAATGCAGAAGAATTTGTGTTAATTCTGAGCAAGTGATAGACTTGAATTGGTTAGAATGAGTAGGCTGATACAGGGCAAAAAAAACTGTTAGGTGACTAATTGTTTATAGTTTTAAAAGTTATCAATTCTATCCCAAAGGAACACTCTAAGGAAATCATTCTGTAATGCAGGCAAACTAGGCAAATGTCCAGTGGGCCACGATAGTCATGGACTGAGGTCAACAGAGTAGATCAAATGTTTTCTACTGCCGGACCCATGCATGGCTGGCGAAATCCAAGTGCTGGCCTTGATGTGTGTCTGCACGGGCACTTTACTGAAGAGAGTGGACTCGGAAAGTTCTAACTTGCATGAAGAGCATTCCACCCATGAGCTCCCACAGTGTGCTTCATCAGAGCTGTCTTGTCCTGACTTTCAGCAAAGCTCTGACATAGCACAACGTTGGAGCTTGTAACAGGAGGGTACTCAGCCATCTCAACCCCCCATGCACAATACAATAATAAACACTACATGTCTTATACACACTCATCCAATAAGGAAAAAAATAGATCTTCTACAGACACACACTGCATCACCTACACTCACACTACATTCCTGACATAAACTACATCCTTTATATAAACTACAGCCACTGTGAAAACACTCATTGCATCCCCTATACACCCGCTATCCCCCATATACACACGCTTCTCGGACAAGCAAAGGGCCTTTTTCTCATGTGAGAACTGTTCAGCTGGGCTCTGCGCATGGACATACTTGAAAACTAGAGAAATCGCAATGTATCCATCCTGGTAAAATATTTTATAAATAAATAAAGATCATTGAAGCAAAATGCTTACTTTGGAGGAACGTACTTGTCATTGATGATGACACAATACACCCCCTCTCTGGTCCCACCCCTCTCACTGAGCTGCTGTAAGTAAAAAAATGCCAGGGGCAAATTATTTTCCCAGTTCAGTGCTGCTGTAATCGTTAGGCTAAGTAGATTATCCTGGTTCAATTCAGGAGCTTAAACGTTAAGAATACAAATGTGCATTTCTAATGCTATAGTGTATTCCTAATGCTACAGTTTCCTGTTGCCTTTTTAGATGACCAGCACCCACTAGTAGGGAGAAAAAAAAGAAGCTGTACTTTCCTGTGAAGACAGTGAAGACCTTTGAAGTACTATACACTCTAGTGAGGCAGGTGATAGCACACACAAACAAACACATTTTGCCGCTTCCGCAATATATAGAGCAGCCGATTACACGGCACAGGGTGCAAAAACCCAAATTACCTTAAGGTCCAGCTTTTTGTGAAAAAAATATTGTAAATGCACTTCCATGATAAAACATACAGTGGGTAGTTTGCAAGAAGCCTCTTCTTCAATAAATTTAAATTACAAAAAAAAGTTTTCCAAAAAGCACAAAACAGGCAGATATGTTGAAGATACCTTAGGACCTATTGACTAAGGCAGATATGACAACATACCAGTTAATTTGCATGGAGAGGAACTCAGTTGCAGTGGAATGACAACCCTTGCAAACACGACTCACATGGGTGCATAAGAGTGATATGGGAACCTGGGAAATGTATGAGGGCATGGGTGCTTTTATTTACAAAGGAAGCGGCGAAACCAGAAAGGAGCAGGCAGGAAGCAGTGTCAGGTGTTCCAATGGTCAGGACTGGCAGCAAAGGAGCGAGGTCAAGAATTTATAGGGAGAACAAATCATGTGTCCAGCTCCACCTCCATATAATCTGAGCCCCCAGTGGCAATAAAAGAGGACCTGGGAACCAATGCCATATTGGTTGCCTCAGAGCTCCTCCCACCTGTTCCTCTAGCACCACCAATATTTACTAACGGACTCTAGCCATCTGGTCGTTGTGGCACCATCACAGAGCCCAGCGCTGATGGAGGATGCCAGATCAAGACAGCGGGAAAACCGTTAGAGTAGCAGCGCATGGGGACCCCTCCCAAGAGGCCCTGGGCACATTGGAGCAGGTAAGTGCCAGAAGGTACCGTGACAGACCACCTAACAGAACTTATCAGCTCCCCTGGATGTTTCCTCAGCAGCTACTGCAGCTGCTGAGGAAGATTCATTTTTACATTACTTTGTTTAAAAATGTTCTTTTTTGTAAATTAACCACTTCACACGTTTCATCATTGGAGTGCTTACAACATATTTATTCATGGATAACACCCAAATCTCGGATTAAAATTCTAATACTGCTGCATTTTTCAGATGATATGAAGCACATTTTATCAGAATCGCAAGGTTTTGCACCTGATTTTAACTTAGTTTCAATGTCTGAATTTTAAGACTATTGTCTGATTATTAGAAAGTCTTGATGTGTCCTCTAATCAACAGGATGTTACATTTGTCAGGGTTCACCTTCAACCAACTAACATTCATCAACTACTCCAGGAGATATGCTAAGCATCTGTTGATTAGAAATGCTGGATCCTTATTTCCTGGTGCAAAGAAAAGATAAAGTAGTATGTCACCTGCACAACAATTTTATCTTATGTTATATTGTTTGCTTATGTCTTCTAGTGGTAGCAAAGCAAGCAGAGTTGTTAGTTTATGTCCTTCTGAATATCCCCCAGTAAATGATGTTGATGCAGAGCTAGATTTTCTGATAACACATCCTATGATCCTATTTTAAATTATTTAAACATAGGCTCCCATGGGGGCATGACCAGAAGTTGATGTAGCAGAACGTGTTCGAAACAGGCTCCTGCTCAAACATTTTCAAAAGTGTTAAAAATAAGCCACTCTGCACCCTAAGTCTTCCCACATGGTACGTGAAAGGGGAGACCATCCAAATGAGATCTCGGGAATCCAAGAAGCCAAAACCCAGCAGCACTGGCCTCCACATCACAGCATCTACCTGTGCACATCAGGTCCAAGATGGTGACGGCAGGTCTGCCTTGCCAAAGTCCAGCTCAGCTGGCAGCAACATCACCGCCATTTCAACGGTGTCACATTTAAGCAGTGGCACACACTGACTTCTCAGAGGTTACAATCCAAACACTGCTTGATAGACTAAAAACCTCCCTCCAGCACAGCATAAACAAGTTGTCAGAATACCTGAGGAGAGGCCTGGGGGAAAGAACTTCCCAGTTGGAAGGTAAATTAGAAGAGCTTGTGTCTGCCCATAACTTGATGACTGACAAACATTGACTTTAGAGCAGGGGCGGCATTTTTCAGGGGGCGGCAAAAAACGCCGCCCCCAAATGCCCAGGGCAAATGCCTTGTTAGCCTTGTGGCTAACAGACATGCCGAGCAGGCGGGCGGCGCTGGGCGGGCAGCTGGCTCCCTCTTCCGGCTCCCAGCCTCACTCTGCGGCGCGCGAGGGAGCGGAGCGGACAACTCAGAGGAAGAGCTCCCTTGCCAGCCGCCCGCCCAGCGCCACCTGCAGCCACTGGACCACCAGGGAGATAGAGAACCCCCCCCAAGCATTCCCAAAAGTAAGGGGGGGGGGGGATTAAAAAAAATGTGTTAATGTGAGTGTGTGTGTGTTTATTAGTGTGTGTGTGTGTGTGTCTGACTGTGTGAGTGTGTCTGCTAGTGTGTGTCTGACTGTGTGTGTCTGTTAGTGTGTATGTGTGTGTCTGACTGTGTGTGTCTGTCAGTGTGTGTGTGTGTCTGTTAGTGTGTGTGTGTGTGTGTGTCTGACAGTTTGTGTCTGTTAGTGTGTGTGTCTGACAGTTTGCGTCTGTTAGTGTGTGTGTGTCTGACTGTGTGTGTGTGTCTGTTAGTGTGTGTGTCAGTGTGTGTGTGTCTGTTAGTGTGTGTGTCTGTTAGTGTGTGTGTGTCTGTTAGTGTGTGTGTCTGTTAGAGTGTGTGTGTGTCTGTTAGAGTGAGTGTGTGTCTGTTAGAGTGTGTGTGTGTCTGTTAGTGAGTGTGTGTGTGTCTGTTAGCGTGTGTATGCGTATCTGTCAGTGAATGTGTGTGTGTGTATTTAGAAGGGGCGGGGGGAAGGGTTGGGTGGGGCTGGCACGGGGGGGGGGGGGAAGGCACCTGAGTTTTGTCCTGCCTAGGGCAGCACAAAACCAGGATACACCACTGCTTTAGAGGCGAGACTGACAGCAATGGAATGCAAACTAATGGAGCTGGGGGATTGCTCCAGGAGGAATAACATTTGCCTGAGAAGCATTGAGGAAATGGTAGATAATTATAGTTCACTTTTCCAAGCATTTCAGCCCACTGCTGATAAGCGAGATGTACTTCTAGTTTCTAGAGATTACTTCTATACAGATTGCCAAGCCCCAGGCAACTGGCTAACTCAGTGCCATGTGATGTGACTGTAGGGATGTACTTCACAGTCAAGGAGAAGCTCATGAAAGTGGAAAGATCTGATACCTCACTGCACCTTATAGAGGGATCCTCTTGTTCACAGATCTCTTCCTAACAACATTGACCAAGAGGAGAGAATTTCAGGCCATCGTGAAGGCCATGCAAGGGGCAAATGTTGCTTTTTGGTGGGAATTTGCAACAAAGCTTCTCATGCAATGCAATGGAACTTTACATGTGATATTAATGATGGAGGATGGCCTGTGTCTTCTGGCTCAAAGGGACATACATATTGTACTTGTCTCCAACAAAGAATCACCTAAGGTCCAAAATAACACACAGTGGGTCTGAAAGGAGTCAGGGACTCATATGAAATATTTGCAGAAATTTGCTGGATGCCTGTGGTCTGAGAGACCTGTTGACCGAAGCCTTAACCCTGTGAACAAGAATATACTTACGACTTTTCTACACCTCATTTCAAATGGTATATTCTTTCATCGCGTTCTGTTTTGAGGACGTTAGCTCCCATTATAGTCTCGCTTGAGGAGGCAATCACTATGGTGGAGTTTCCCTTTGTTGGACCTCCCTTGTGGTGACCATTCTACACTGAAGTCTCACAAACATTTAATGATGTTTAATATTTCCTTGCAGTTGTTTTTTTGTTCAATTTACATTCTGTGGTTCTTTCTGTTTTTTTTTTTTTTTACTTTAGTTTGTGGGTTGGCCTTGTAGAGCTTGTCCGGTACAGGTGTACCATTGGCATCCTGCTAGGCAGAGGAGATAGATTACCTGAGCCTTCAAATACGTGTGGAAATTAAGATGTGAAGTGAATCTATACATCTTATCTTAACCACTCATTATTTACTTACAATGGTTATAATGTTTTTTTCACTTAGCGAGAATGACATTGGCTGAAGCTGCTGCTGCCAGAGCTGATGTCCTGTAAATGTAATGACCTTTTGGACTAATTTGATTAGCAGGATGTGTAGACATCACTATCGATGGAGACTGTAAGTTTCTTATGGATCCTCATTATGATTCTACCACAACAGGGAGGGAGCCCAAGGCAGCCAACCTGTTTCTAACGAACAAGCTCTATGATGCATGGAAAGTACAACATCCAGGGGAGGACAGTTTACATTCCACTCTCAAGTTCATAATTCAAACGCACAAATCAATAAATTCTCTGTCTCACGTTTGCATCTGCAAAGGTTTCTCTCCACCTGTATCGGTACCATTACACGGTCTGACCATAATACTAAAGTTGACTGAGAGTTTTTTCTCTAAAGGTTCAGGCACATGGAAGTTCAATGAACTCCAAGATAGTGGAGAGTGTGCAAAATGAATTAGCTGACTATTTCCAGGCTAATGACAACCCCCACACATATCAGTTCAGTCTGGCTTGCTTACAAGGCAGGTATTAGGGTTTTTTCTTAAACATATTAACAAAACTCAACAAAAAGAAGATCTTTTACAAAATCTGTTAAAATAACTGAACTATCAAAACCAGCATTTACCCTCTCCAGCAAACCTTGCTGCCATTTGCAGACTCCAAAACGTACTGGATTCTCACTATGCCCACAGACAGGCTACATTCTTAGATGCTTTAAATGTTGACTTTTACTTTATTTAGAAGTTAACATGGCTTTTCTAGCTAGACAGCTTAAAAGAAAGCAATGCTCATTCAAGATTGCCTACCTGTTTGACAAACAAGACAAAGAAATCTTCAATACTGTTTACATTGCTTCTGTCTTGCAACATTTTATTCTATGTTAAATAACCTGAAGGTGTAAGGCATTTGTCTCCCCCAGAAATTGCAAGATTCCTCAACTCACTTTAGATCCCTAAAATTATAGACCAACATCTACAAGCCCTTAAAGTGCTTATATTATTTCAGAAGGTATTGGACAACCTATAATCAAGTCGCAAGCATATTAACCACTCAGATGAAACAGGGCTTGTCAGGATGAGACAGGGCTTGGATAACACCAGGATGTTCCTTATGATCCATACTTCTAGCACTTCCTGTTTGTTCATGTCTTTAGATGCAGAGAAAGCCTTTAACGGTTAAACTATAAATACATGACGATGACCTTAGAGGCATTTGGCTTCATACCAGATATTAACCGCATTCTAATGGTCCTTAACTTTGAAACCCTCTGCCCAAGTTTACTATTCAGGCTTCACGCCCTCTTCCTTACCGATCTTCAATGGCACATATTGTTCGTATTACCTCTGGAGCCTTTAGCCATAGCCCTTAGTCAACACCCGGACATATCAAGGGTTTCCTTTATAAATAAAAATGTTTTACTAAAACGGCAAATTTTTCTGAGGGATAGCCCCTCAGCCCTAGCCTTGCTAAAAGTCATAAACACCTATGACTGGAGAGTGGACCTCATAATAAAAGTATGGTACACATCCCTTGGTGCCTTCCAGATCTTTATAAATTCAATTATGCTAATAAATAAGTCCAAGATCTTCTAAGATGCTTATAAATACAAGTGTTCTGATCAATAAGGCCAAATCCGATTTACACTCCTGAAAGCATATCACTTTGTCCTGGTTAGGCAGGATTAGCACATAAAAAATTATGATATTGCCCAAACTCCTTTACATATTACAGGTATTGTCTGTTCCAGTGCCAGCAACTGTTTTCCAGAACAGACAGCAATTGCTTACTAGGTTCACCTAGGAGCACACCTGTCCTAGAGTCCAACTCCATTTGTATGTATTGGGCAGCTTCCTGCTGATAAGTTGCACTTATCAATGTAGTCTCCGATAGAGAACAGGTTCTGCACCAGGGGATGCCAGTGGAGAGACAGTGGAGCTATGTGCCATGCTGGTCCACACAGGGAGGGGTGATTAAGTGGTTGAGTGATCAGGTTATTAGGGAATTATGCAAGGATCCACATATATTTGGTACTCAAATATGTCTCACACTATGTCACATAGATTTATCATGTGAACCGAAATATGAATGAATAATATGTTTATATAATGTAACTACTAGGAAGCTTCATACTGTCTATTACCATCTTGGTGGATCCTGGAGCTTGACTATGCTTACAGTTCTCATTTTGAATGTAAAATGTAAAAGCCACTTTTAAAAAACATAGGCTCCCATTTGGGCTCAAATGGATTTTCTCATGTTATTGCTGGACCAATTTGGACTCTAGCAGGACCCCTATAGTCAGGCAATGACCAAAAACTTAAGCAGGGAACCCATTTATTCAAATCTGCAAGTGGAATAAGTTCTGCGAAAATCTTGATGTAAGTTTGAATACTGGAGACCAGTTGAAAGTTGGGAACAAGTTAATCTATCCAGAAAAAACAGTGAATATAAAGACTTGGTAGAGTAAAGCATTAGCAGGACCAGGACACCTAGGCAGCCTGGAGCAAGGTGCAGAAACATGGTGGCAATAAAAGGGCTACAACCATGGAAACACGTTAAATACATCTGTGCAAAAGAGAAGAAAAACTGGAATAGCGTACTAGGAGCAAACATTCAAATCTCTAAAGAACACTTCGCTATTATTTACAAAGACTGGGCCATTTGGGTCAGTGTACACTGAAATATGACATGCAGGCTTTAGGTGGCATTCCAAATTTAAAAAAATACATATTTCCCCTCTTGAATCTCCGTTATATCCATGGCTGTTTAATATTTCTGTGTTATCTATATTACAAAAGTGATCATGCAATCAATCAGTAATTTTAATGTAGATACATTTATAGCTGTAGAGCCTGTCTGTCATCTTTCTAGTGGCCATATATCTCCTGCTCATCAGCATTTCATTATTAGGAAGCAGAAACCTTAAAGTACACCTCCAAGTATGATTAATAAACTCCATCAAAGACAAACTATACTTGCTGATGATTGAGCTCAACCAAAGTTAGTTTTACGACCAGACTTATGAAGGGTGCTTGAGATCAAATTATAGGAAGTCATTGAAATTGGCTGTAATAGAGATATATTTGGTATAGTAGCAAAAGGTAATAAAGTATAATTTATTGATAAGCAGCTGTATGGCTGTCATTAGGCAGAGAAAGCAGAACCCACCAATGAAAACCATTTCCAGCAGCAAGTCACTGTGAAATTGACAGAGATGATGTTTGGAGATTTGTTGTTAGACCAGTCATGTGCTCTGTTTACATTTACACACCTGTAGAAGTATGATCCCATAAAGATGGGAAAGGGGACATCACGCTCCTCCTGAAACGGCAGCATATATCAGATTGGTTTTATGAACTTAGAATAAATTATAGTAAAAGCAATCTTAAGCATTCACCTGTCTTTATAACATGTGCATACAATGGAAATGTGACTGTTGTTTTATTCATATGATTAAATGGGCATAAGGGTACTAAACGTTCTTAATACATGAAGTAAAACTGGTGAAACCACCTTTTTTTTTAATGGGAACAATTGATACATAGTTCCTAACCGTCCTAATTCAGTGGAACAGCTCTGATTTTGGGTCCTGTTCCACCGTCCTGTCTTAGTTCTCCCGTGTCTCGCTTTTGGGGACACCCTGGAACTGTCCCCAACAATCATAGCACAATGTCAGGACATTTCTGCATTCTCTGCCTCCATTTGCTGCCATTTTCCTGTACTTTTGTTTATTTTCTATTTTATTTTAGTGGAGACTTCATACTTTGTAAATGGTGCCATATGTGCAGCAGTGGTCCAGATTTGAGTCTGCAGAGTGGACTAAACAGTAGTTCTGCGGTGAACTATCTGAAGTGTGCTGCCTTTCCCAATTGCACATTGGAGATACCAATGTTGTAATTTGTAAAGGTTCTGTCTTTTGGTGAGATCTCCACGTAACATGTGAATGTTGTGGAATGGACCTTCACTTTAATATACTTATGTACATGGCCCTATCAAAACTTTCAGCTCCAGTTCCCACAATGTATGCTGCCAGAGCAATACCTAAGATAGATAGTTTTAATAAATAAATGATTATAGGTATTATTATTATTAATATTATTGGTATTTATATATCACCAACTAATTCCGCAGCGCTTTACAATATTATGAAAGGGGGGGGAAATTTAGAATAAATGAGACCATTATATAGTGACGCAGGAACAATAGGTAGATGATGACCCTGCTCAAATGAGCTTACAGTCTAGATGAGGTGGGGTACAAATACACAACAGGACAGCAAGGGTGACAGCCACCAAACAAGGAGAAAAAAAGTAGCAGAACTAGAGGTGAGAGTGGAGTGTGGCTCTTTAGGAGAGCAAGAGATAGATTTAGAAACGTATACATACATTACTCTGGGAGTCCATAAGCATTTCTGAACAGATGTGTTTTGAGGGACTTCTTAAAAAAGACTAGGGGAAAGTCTGATGGGGGTAGGCAGTTTGTTCCAAAAGAAGGGAGGTGACCGTGAGAAGTCCTGCAAGTGCAAGTTAGCAGTAAGGGTGCGAGCAGCAGACAGGAGAAGGTCACTGGCAGGGCGGAGAGACCGAGAAGGGGCATACCTATGAATCAGGGAAGAAATGTAAGAGGGGCTAGAGTTGGTAAGAGCTTTATAGGTAAGGGTTAGTATTTTGAATTGACACCTATATGATCCAGGAAGCCAGTGTAAGGATCGACAGAGGGGCGATGTATGGGAGGAACGACGGGTGAGAAAGATCAGCCTGGCGGCAGCATTCATTGCCAATTGTAGTGGGGCAGTTTGGCTTTTGGGGAGACCAACTAGGAGAGAATTACAGTAATCCATGTGAGAGATTACCAGAGCATGAACACTTTGCATGAGAAAGGGGCGGACGCGGGTGATATTTTTAAGGTGGAATCAACAGGTTTTAGCAACATACTGGATATGTAGCGCAAAGGTGAGGCCAGGATCAAAGATAACACGAAGACAACGAGCTTGCATGGATGGACTGATGCAAGCACTATCACCTTGCAGGGAAAGCGAAGGATAAGGATCAGCATTATGAGGGGGGAAATAAGAAGCTCAGTTTAGGAGAAATTGATTTTCAGAAAGTGGGAAGACATCCAATCAGAAATTGAAGAAAGGCAAGCAGTGACCAGTTGCAGGACCATGGGGGAGAGATCAGGAGAGGAGAGATATATATGGGTGTCGTCGGCATACAGATGGTAGTGAAGTCCAAAGGAGTTAATGAGTTTGCCAAGAGAGGCAGTATAAAGAGAGAATAGAAGGGGACCAAAAACAGAGACTATGGGGACTCCAACCGAGACAGGGGAGGAGGTGTTGTTGCAAAAGGAGACACTAAACGAACATTGGGAGAGATAGGAGGAGAACCACGAGAGGACAGTGTCAGTATCCTTCCATGACAATGCATGGATGCCTGCTAGGCAGAACATTTTGGAAACAGTCTTAGCAATGCTATATGCATCCTCAAAAATATAGAAAGTAGTCTGAAAAAAGTAGGGTTGAAATTATGATTTTATCTATTGAATTAAACCACTAAATAAAACCCTAGACACTCCACTTTATACCAAGAAACACAAGGTTTAAGGAGCACAGCTTATTAATATTAAAGTATTTGGACAACTGATCAGCACTCAACCAGTCATGTCCTCCTCTCTTTGTAGACACAAAGAACTAACGTAATGCATTACTATCTAACACTTATACAAAAGGTTACTAAGCATGAGACAGGATGCTACTTCTAACCATAAGGAGACATTAATATTAACAATAGTCAGACGAGCTGTGATTCAAGCAGGTATATTTGACGTAATGAAGGAAAAAATTAATCGTGACTGCTTTGTTAAGATAACAACTGTGGTGGCAGAGAATTTCCTTAAAATGAAAACAAATTGCTGGTAGTAAGGCATTTGTCACAGTCTGATTACTTGGCAGTCACTGTGGGATCTCCAATTTGTCAGGCTCCATCAGGAGTACAGGAGAATGGCGAGGCCAGAGAAAGCTATTTGCATGTTCATTTTCCAAGTCACGAAAAACATCAGGTGTATTACAATAATCTCCATTCAATAAAACACACTACACCACTCAGGAACATGACTACAAATTTGTCAAAATGTATTGTATAATGATTAGATTTAATGTTAGGTAGGGATTCTAATGGAATAAATTAACATTGTCTGCCTGCTAATTTTAAGCATGTTTAATGTTCTGGTCTTTACTTCAACAAGGCCAGCAATTAAACCATTCCCATGTAAAGGTTATGAACTGATATTAAAATGATTTTAAGCATTTGAGAGGTTCTTACATGGGGTACAGGAGTTACAAGCGTCCAGGCTTCTTCGACTTGTTCCGTCAAGGATGTCTTCTTCTCTGAATGAAGGAGGTAACATTTAATGTGCGATAAAAGTATTTTATAAGCACAGAAAAGTAGCTATTATATGCTTTATTATTATTTTTTTATTTAACAGAAAGTCACATATGATTTAAACTTTTATTAGTTTTTAGTTTAAAGGACAGAAGAAGGGGCCAAAATGGGTAGAAACCAGACAATAGGGAGATGACATAAACATATAGGAATTAATGAATTATAAAAGAGAGATTACAGGTAGCCTAAGAGGGACATCTGGGGGCAGATAAAAAAACAAAAAAAAAAACAAGCTTATTGAAAGAGAGAAGTGATCTGGAAATCTATTAAAGGTGCAGGTGGATTACAAGTGCAAAAGAGACAGGTGGAAAGAATATTCAGGAAATGGTGGAGTGACAAGGTAGGTAGACAAATGGATATTGGGAAACAAAAAATGATAGTTCCTTTTTAACTCTTTCCCTGACCCTACCAAACAGTTTTTTGTAATAAAAAAACTTAAAATTTATTACATTTACTGAAATGCACACTCAGATGCATAGTAAGCATAGTAAGATAGGCTAAAAATACAATTGTTGTCGCATACTGAAGGTGTGACAACGATAAATAAAAGCATAGTTTGAAGGCCTTTCTAGGAATGCAGTGTTCTAAAAAATACTACAAGAATTTTAAAATAATGTCTGTATGTGTAGGTCTGTTTCAGTACTCTCTGCAGTCTTAGTACTCTGCAAGTGTGTCTAATGATGCTTTTTTGTTACACTATATTTGGGACAGGACTTTGAAATCTGGACTGTCTCACCGTAATTATGAGTGCTGGAGGCTAATATCAAAGTGAAACATTTCCATTATTCAATATTACCAACTTACAACTTCTTCATTGTTAGTCAATAGCCAACTTGGAGAATTTTCTCAGTCTATTATGACTTCTGACTTTAAAGAAGTTGACATTAAGTGAGTCCAAGGTTAAATAGTCTTAAATAGTTTATTAAAGAACCCAAGGTGATTACATTTAAAATAAAAAAAAATAAAAAGTGAAGAAAAGTTTTTTTTTTTTCTTTTTTACCTTGGCTCTTACCAAATAATAAATTTGATTCATATTGGAATGTAGTTTCAGTTTCCTCCTAAACTTAGCTGACAACTTGTTGTTTAAACGATCAATCCCTAATTCCAAAAACACAACATTGTCTGGAAGATATCTAGTGTTATATATGAGTATCCATTGCTTCATTGAGCTTTGCGTAAAAGGTGTACAGAAGCAAGGCCATTAAATTTAGGGTTTAGCAGAAAAAAAAGGTAAGACAGGGCTCAAGATTAATGAGTAGATAAGTGTAAACAGAGATATGCTATAAACAATACAAAACAAAAAGAACATTTTTTTCTTAAAAGTACTGCATGCTTCACAGCATATATATATATATATGCAATAAAATCTCTTCCTGATAGTTTTTTTTTTATTAAAGACTATGATACAAGTAGAATGTTCATTTCAAATAACTCACTGTGACGGATCACTTGTGATGGTGACTGTAAGTAATATATATTAAACTTGGAAGAATGAGCTATGGGTGACATTGTATTTTAAAGTCTAGTGTAAATCCCAGCATTGCTTGATCGATGGTGTTTATCAAGAGAGATACTTTCTCCTTCACCTTCTTTCGAAGATGCAATGGGAAGCGATTTTGCTCATAATAGAGAACTTAAACCTATCATATGTCATTATGGTGTGATCGGGCAGGCAGTGCACATTACAAACTTAATTCATGTGCTTACTGATAGTTTCTTCTAAGGAAATGCAGTCATTGGTACCATGAAAAAAGTAACGCAATTCAGTCATTCAAGGCACTTTATTCCTTAAACATCTGTCATATAGGTTGTGCCTTTAAGTCTACTAGCTGAAATACTTTCAGGGTGTTCCTTATCGACAATAATTACATGATTTTGCTATTTCATGACGAAAAGTCGTGATTTTATGAAAGAGGCGAGTATTGCTTAACCTTTTCTTTACTGTCCACCAGTAGCAGCAAAGAATACAACAGTAAGAAAAAATGGTAACCATAGTGATAGGCCACACCCATACCAAGTCCCAGTATAATAGTCAGCACATCCCCACACATTTCCTCTTTCTTTGGTGATGCGAGACAATAACAACAAAACAGGAACGATGAAACAGTCCAAACCAAATAGAACAGGTGACCCGAAATCCAGCCGGACTCTGATCAGGAACCATAACGAAACTGGGACCGATCCATCAGTAAACAAGATTCAAACAGTGAGGGGCCCATCACAGCACTGTCCATAAACTTCCTGGCCACTTGGTGAAGCCGAGAGAGAAGTGCTGAAGACCCTTGATCAACATTGAATCAACCTGTGAAAACACAAAAGACAGGAGCCGACGGTTAAATCGGTACTTGAACCAAAGTGCGCATGCCAAGACATACTTTTATAACTAGACAGAAGCAACACAGTGTGCATAATTCGTCATCGGCATTTCGAATAATCACGTAACATGAACAGGTTAATAAACGGTTGAAACTATACAAAACCCAGAGCGCATAATGAATACCAGGGCCTGCAGGAGAGAATAACCAACCGGGTGGGATAAATCAGTAAAATAACTATGAAGGGTGGGACAAAACTCACCTCCATGTCTTTCATAAAATCATGACTTTTCGTCATGAAATAGCAAAATCATGTAATTTTATGTCAAGACACGGAGGCTCATATTGCAAGTTTAAAGCTGATCAATAACTGAAGAAAAAAGGTGAGGCAAAGGTCGAAAGTAAAACTCACGAAAAGTGGATTTGCGGGACCAGTCGGCCATTCTCATCAGGTCTTCCAGACGTGCACCTGAATTCACCATGGACGTGGCCGATGCCCCTCGGGCTGAGTGGGCACCAAAGATGGACATATCCACGCCGGCCAGAGACATCACCCATTTCACCCAGCGAACCAATGTAGTACTGGACACAGGGGAGAAGGGGCGACGAAGTGAGAGAAACAGCTGGGGAGACGACGTAGCTCGATGTGCGCTCGTTCGAAGTTCATATTCCCATAGGCAGGCCACCGGACACAGGGCTGGAGTACCAGGGAAGCTTGGATAAGAAAACAATCGAATAGCGGTCTTGGTGCGTCTGGAGATGTTAAACGTCATCCCGTCCGGAGTGAAAGACCTAGCATTATAGTCCAGGGCACGAACATCCGATATGAGAATGCGTGAAATGAGACAGAACAGGGAGACCAACTTGGCTGACAGCTGTCGCAGGGAGAGCTCTGCATTAGGCGGCCAGGAGGAGAACAGCAACAAAACGCAGGAGACGTCCCATGTAGATGAGTAACGAGGTCTAGGGGGGCGCGACAAGCGTGAGCCCCTAAGTAAGCGGCACACTAATGGATGTTGGCCTGCTGGGCAGCCGTCAAATCCTTGGTGAGCCGAGGAGATGGCCGATCTGTATGAATTAATCGTGCAATATGCCAGACCAGCTTCAAACAACGAAGTCAGGAATAGGAGGATTGCAGTCACAGATGCTGAAACGGGATCCAAGTTCCGAGCCAGGCACCAGCCAGTCCAAGCTCTCCAAGCAGTCCCATATCCTCGTCTAGTCCTGGGAGCCCATGTGTCAGCCAGGAGGCATTGAGTTGCATCCGAAACCCGTTCGATTTCCCAGGGATTCCCGAAATCCTCCACGCGAGCAGTAGTAACGATCCGTCTGCCAGGAAGGGATGCTGGAGGCCCGATGTGTCCAGGAGGAGGTTCAGTTGTGACAGCAGCAGTCTGGGCACATCTACCGCCAGTTCCAGGAGTTGTGGGAACCAGGATTGGGTCCCCCAGAATGGGGTTAGTAGGATCAGGTCGGCCATTTGGCGGCAAACTTGGAGCAGGACCCGAGGTATCATGGAAAATGGAGGGAATTTGTAGAGGAGTGAGCCAGTCCAGTCTTGTAGGAAGGCGTCCACTGCCTCCGCGGTTGGATCCGGGCGCCAGCTGTAGAACCGGGGTAGTTGGGTATTGAGCCTGGACGCGAAGAGGTCGATGGCAAAAGGACCCCTTATGGACGATATAGCAGAGAATACTCCCACATCCAATCTCCAATCGCTGTTGTCCGATAAATAGCGTGAACTCCAGTCCGCGTGAGTGTTGTGGAGCCCGGGAAGGAATTCTGCCTGGACCATGAGGTTCCTGTTCAAGCAATAAGCCCAGAAGTCCTTCGCCAAGCGGGCCAGGATTGCAGATTGAGTGCCACCCATGTGGTTGACTTGGCGGACCGCTGAGATGTTGTCCATGCGCAGGCAGATGCATAAGCTGGCAGTCCCGTTCACAAAACTCCTGATCGTGAATGAACCTGCTAGGAGTTCCAGAGCTTTGACGTGGAGGTTGGATTCGTCTGCCGACCGTTGCAATGGGCATCCCAGCTGTGGAGACTGGCGTCTGAGTTCACCGTGAACTCTGGTTGAGAGCCGAAGATGGCCTTGCCATTCCAAGCCGAGAGGTTGTGGATCCACCAGGTCAATTTGTCTCAAGTCTCCGAGTCCAGGGAGATCATGTCCGCATAGGACGCCCCCCTGCGAAGGTGTGCGATCTTCAGGCGCTGGAGGGCACAGTAATGGAGTGGGGCTGGGAACACCACTTGGATTGATGCTGCCAGAAGGCCAATGATCCGTGCCAGATCGTGTAGAGATAGCTGGGCACGTGTTAAAGCGCGGCGCAGCTCCTTGAGGATTGTCCGTATCTTGGAGGCAGGGAGGCTTAGTGACTCCGCTTCGGAATCTACCGTGAAGCCTAGTAAGTCCATGCAAAGTGAAGGAGACAGGCAGGATTTTTCCCAGTTGAGGAGAAAACCCAGGTGGGAGAGGAGGTCCATTGTCCATTGAAGATGTTTCCGAAGGTCTGAACGATCCTGTGCCATGACGAGGATGTCGTCCAAATAGATGATTAGCCGGACTCCCCGACTGCGCAGCCAACCCATGGCTGGGCGCATCAGTCCGAAGGGGAGGCACGTGAAGCGCCAGGTGTCTCCTTTCCAGAGGAAACGTAACAGGTCCCTGGAAGACTCGGCCACTGGGTCCGTTAGGTAGGCATCCTTCAAGTCCAACTTTGCCATCCAGTCTCCCTGAAGGAGTAAGTCTCGCAGGAGGTGGATGCCCTCCATTTTGAAGTGACGATAATGCACCAGGGTGTTTAGGGCACGGAGGTTGATAACTGGGCGCATTTGTCCGCCTTTCTTTTCCACTATGAAAATATTGCTGATCACCTCTGTGGAGGACACCGGGGCCAGCTCTATCACCCTTTTTGCGTGGAGGGCCGTTAGTTCTGCGTCTATCAAGGCGCGGTCAGTTGTAGAATGCAAAATAGGGCGAGGCGGGGGAACGTGACATGGATTGTCGACCAGTTCGATGTGAAACCCCTGAACTGTGGTCAGAACCCAGACATCTGAGGTGATGGTTGACCAGGTGTGGAAAAAATGATGGAGTCTGCCCCTACACACATATTGGAAGAAACATGAGGTAGATGTTAGCTTACAGTAAGATAGGAAGATAATACGTCAGAGAGACAGGAAGTCAGGAAATGGCCGCCGGCAATCTCGCGAGATTCGCGGCCAAAATACAGTCAATTCGTCAAGTTAAAGAGCTGAATGTTCGGCAAAAAAGAGACAAATTCAATGGGATAAATAGATGAAAGTAATGAAAAGGAAACAGGCGAATGCACTGAACGTTCGAATGAAAAAAAGCTGAACGCGGCAAAACAGATGAATGAAGTTAAGTGTTAGAAAAAACAAACGAACGGCATGTGTTCATGAAGAATTTACCGAACTGGTTAAAATTCTTTCACGAAAACAGCCGAACAGGATGGAAAAAAGGCTTAAAATGGCGCCAAATAAACAGAGAGAAGGAGAAAATGGAGCCAAAGGGTAGTGAGGAAAGATATAATGAGATAAGTAAGTGATCAGAAGAAGCAAGTGAGCATGGATAACACACAGAATAAAACATAGGGAAAGTCTGGAACCCTGGACTCAAAGGTAACCAACATAATATATAGTATAAAACAAGCATGTAATAAAACACAGAAAAACAATCCATAATAACTGGATAAATGAAAGCAGACAGGAATTATCAACAAAAGGAGTAATAGAAGTTCAAATAACAATAAATAAATTATATAAATAACCAGAAATCAATAAGAGAATAGTAGTATAGTATGAGAGAAATTTTGTCATGTACTTATCTTTGGTCGGAGCAGCAAAGAAAGAGGAAATGTGTGGGGATGTGCTGACTATTATACTGGGACTTGGTATGGGTGTGGCCTATCACTATGGTTACCATTTTTTTCTTACTGTTGTATTCTTTGCTGCTATTGGTGGACAGTAAAGAAAGGGTTAAGCAATATGAGCCTCTGTGTCTTGACATAAAATTACGATTATGCTACTCCTAAATTAGTGTTGTCTTCCCCATAACCTATCCCTACGCCAGGCTGAGCTATATAAGATATGATACAGGACTTCACTGCAGGAAAATTATATATAGGGCTTCACCTCGATTCATAGTTACTCAAAACCAAAATGCTAACACAAACAGCCTGTTCTAGTACTCATTAACCAAATGTATTTTACTTAATAAAGTCACCTTTATTAAACAATATGACAGTCACCCATTATTACTAATCACTAAGTTGTAAACAGAGAGTGGGGAAGTCTCTGAGTACACTGAGTGCACTAAAGACTTTCTTTGCAGGCTACAATATCAGCCTGCAGGATATTTGGTCATTTGGTCCAGCTTTTTACACCTCAAAAACACACATTAGTTAAAAATATGGGCTAAGTAAACATAATATTAAAAATCCTGAGAAATCACAGCTCCTCTTTAAATTTAAAGAGGATCAAAGTTAGAAAATAGCAAGACGCTGTTTAAAGGAAGGTTTTTACTCACGATGCAGAGGCTTTGATCTTTTCCCATTACAGGTTGTAACCTGCAAAGGAAACAAAAATAGCATGTTTATATGAAACTTTGCTACACTGTTTATGTTTGAAAGCACATTTTTTTAGACACCTTTAGGACATTTAACCCCTTAAGGACACATGGCATGTGTGACATGTCATGAATCCCTTTTATTCCAGAAGTTTGGTCCTTAAGGGGTGAAAGAATAAAAAAGAGATATCTGATGTCATCTTCCTAACACGAGAATTTAGCAGAAATTCGAGGGCACATGTTATAGCAAACAAAAATCAAGAAACAGCCACAATAAGGAGCAGCAATTTTGTTGGTAGTTATTTTTCATGATTTACATGCATATATTTGTTTCTCAATTTTTTCCTGTTTTGTGTGTACAGTATACGGATTTTATGTCTTCTGTAGCCTGAGTTGAGTTCTGAGTTTGATGTTAAAACGTTTGGCATTTTTGAGTGTTTTATTCACATGAATGAGTGATTATAGTGTGTGCAGATTCTCAGGTTCCTGTAAATTCCCTATTCTAAGATTCTCAAACTGAAAAGTGGCAAAAGATTTTAAAAATGTGAAGCTCAAGAAAAGAAACTGTAAATTGTGTATAAAATATACACAACACATGTGCAGGCTTTAAAAAACACTTAAGATGCAAACACTGTGCTTTTTACTACAAACTGTAAAGTGATCTGAAACATTGACGAGATGTTGTGGGCTTCATCCGCTATAATGCTCTTATACCTATAATGCTGGCAAAGCATCATGGGAGGTGTAGTCCAAAACATCTGGAGTACCGAAGGTTGCCAATGCAATATGTGTTTGTTTAGTATAGGTTAAACTTCCAGTGTTTTCCATTACTTTCAGTTACACAGAGCCTAACAAGATTTGCATTCTATCAAAAGAAGTGGTGATGGACCCTCTACTTGTATATATTTTAATTCTTTCTCTTAGCTTGATTTCCTTTTCACAAACCTACAACGTGAGTAGTGAGATTTTGTTTCCATTGCCTACATGCATGCAGGTGCCAAATCTAGTCAGTGTTCGGGAAGCTGACAAATATGGAGCAGAGACAGAGAAGACATGATAATCTCTGACACTTCTCAACCAACCAGTGTTGGAGGCACTGACCTAGAACATAAACCAATGGATTACAGTCAGCAGATGGCACTCTTTAACATTACAACCCCAGGTGTATGATGGGAACAAGTAGTAGTGATAGCACTGGAAGCAATTTTGTCTCAATTTCAATATTCTGCGGCTAATCAAGTTTTGCTGTTATTGCATAATCACATCTGAACCCCCTGCTTGATTTTTATTAAATATTTCCTCTCCTGAGGTCTATGTCTTCATTCATCTGACCTTTCTGTTTAATATAAAATAAGGATGTTGAAATTAGCGCCAATGTACGGTCCGTACCCTGGTATTTAAAGCTTGGAGAATAAAGGATATGGAAAGTAAGGGATTAATTGGAATTATAAGCTTCTAAAGTTAACTCTTTCATCTCCAAATAAGGTCTACGGTTTGGTTAAAGAAGTGGAAATTGCTGCAGTAGCAGCCTTTAAGAGTTGCTGGTTATAGAAAATGTATATTACAGGCCATGCACTACAGGGTCACTCCAACCACCATAGCTAGTACAACTTATTGCAGTGGTAATGTTGCTAGGAAGCTGTTACGTTAAGCTTATCTTTGAATCAATTTTAGTTTAATCTGTGGGCCACATGTTCTAACTCCAAAGAAATATATATAATGCCAAAAAAAAACATAATGTGTGTCTGTTCTCATTTGCATGTCAAACAGGGAACTCTGGGATATTTGTGGAAACATGATTTCTCAAGTTTCTGTGCTCAATGAGCGCTTCTCAAAGTCCAACTTAAATGGACACTCCAGGCACCAATTCAACTTTAATGCATTTGATAGATTTTGGTCTCATTAATATACTGTTTTTTTGCATGGTCAAATATTTATATCTGCACAAAAATATAATTATGTATAAATATATATACAGTTCGTTGGGAGTTTTGCACTCCAGCTCTCCTTTCAATATCAGCCTGGTGCTCAGCTGCACAAAAACATAACATCCAGATAGAAGGCTAGCACTCGAGGACTTCAATGTCAAAAGTAAAAACTTTTAATCCAACTTGTCAAATAGTCGACGTTTCAGTCCACAATTGTGAACTTTCCTCAGGACATAAAATACAAGGCATAAAACATTAAACTTAAATAAGAAAGACTAACTTACCTAACCACCTTCACCTGTACACTAGCGTGTTCTGCTCCCCAATACACATGCATGTCGTTAGACTCCTCCCCCTCTCTGATGTCAAAGTACAACGTGCCCATCACCTTGGTAACGTATACACAAACCACGTAACAGTGACTCCTATGAACGTATATCCTGTTCCAAAGCTAATAAAAAACAAACTAATGTGTTAATAAAGTCTGACCAATATTGAACAATTGATGTCAGAATTAATAAACTAGTGTATATGGGGGTTTCAACAGAACGTGAACCCGGAAGTGAACAACTTAAAATATCGATGTGTGTCTTCAATCAAGGTGCCTTTCATCTAACAATCTATCATATCTACTTATTAGTAAATACTTATTAATAAATATATATACAGTGAGAGAAACTACAAACAGCTAGTGATATCCTTATTATATGTCTCCCTTACTGTCCTCTCCTTTTAATTCATGTTGTGTTGTTGTTCAAATCATTCAGTACTGGCAGTGACTGAGTTGTGTTCATACATTTTTGATAAGGAAGTGTTTATCTGGAGTCAGGGGGTGTGGCTAAAGAGGCAGGCTTATGGTGCAGCATTCTGCAAAACATTTATTTTATGCAAAACTATAAAGATTTGAGCATGCAAAAAAATACAGCATATTAATGAAGCTAAAAACCAAATCAAATGCATTAAAGCTATATTGGTGTCTTTAAAGATGGCTGTACTACCCACTAACACATTTAATATATAATGTAATATAATATATATATATATATATATATAAAATGTGTTAGTGGGTAGTCTGTTGTAACATTTGCCATGTGGCCAGGTAACTGCATAAGAAAGTTTGTGTCATGGTTTAGAAGCAAGTTTGTGGTAGTTTGTCAGAAAACCACCTGGTAAAGGTTTTATTTATTTCTCACATGTGACGGGTCTGTGATGCTCCAATATTCTTCATATTCCAGCATATCACTCTACAGCTATACCAGATATTGCCATTTTTAACCCCCTTGTACATTTGTGAGGAGTAAGCAATATACTCGAAATCTAGAAAGTAGCACCCATTCCCCCCTAAGGTGGGTCCAAATACAGCTGTTTGTTTCCAACTTCCTATTTGTTGATCTGTATCTCTTGAAGTGGATTAAGGGCAATTTATTACATTTTTATAGTAAACTTCTTCAAATTGACTATTAGAATACTAAATAATGATGTCAATAAGAATATTAATAATGATTGGCGAAAAAAACAACACCCCACAAGTGTGTGCAAATAAGCCTTCCAAATAATCAGAGAGCTGCTGTCCTTTCGCTATAGTGCTCAAGGGCATTGAGTTTTATGACTCCCAGTGCTCCACTGCCCTGAAAGTTAACACACATAAATGTTATGATCATTGTGAAACCGATGAAGAAGATTTCATTGCTTGGATTCCCAAATCCCAAAATAGCCCAGAGGCAGGAGAATCTTTAGAGTGTGATTATTCACTCAGAGACAGATGTCTGTGCTCAGCACAGCTGGGGAACAGAAACAAATCGTCCTCTAATATAAGAAGTGAATGCAGAGAGTTCTTCAGAAACATTATATCACAATGAACTTTGCAGGCAGGTACCAGTCCCTGCATCTCCTTACCCACATGTAGACTATTTCTAGTAACATTCCATCAAGAGAGCATCTGACCCCTCTTTGATATTTTTCAACCAGCATCCAAGCCACAACCCTTATCAAAAATAACAGATTGTCAAGGTTCAAGAACTTTGTTGAAACTGCTGTCTAAAGGATATATCTTAGTTGCAAATATAATGTAGCTGAAGAATCTAATTTCGTACCTGTTGGTATTTGCTATGGTCAGATTCTTTTGTCCTGCTTGTCTCCTGAGGAAGTTGCCAACTGTCTACATGCTGAAACCTCCAATTGAGGTGACGTTCCAACTTCTCATCAGGGGTCATCATGAAACTCCTCATGTCGTTAAGCTGAAAAACCCCAAGACAGGACATTCATTTGATTTTCACATATACTCACTGTCACTGGCACAGTTATTCAGAGTTTAATAGGAAAGATTAAATCAAATGAACGGTCAGGATAGAATCCTACCATCCCAACAAAGTAGAAATAGTTGAGTCTCAATCATTGAATGTCACCCGAAGGTATTAAGCTAACAAAATTGACAATGGTTTTAAAATGCTGCTACCAAATCTTCAGTCATATCATATTATTCGTCCCAAGTATGACATATGCTTGAATTTTGATAGATCGCTTCTGGAGTTCTATGTCCTTTCCCTGTCCCAGTGAATCATCATATGATGCCATACTCAGTGAAATAAGTGGGTTTTGCAATTCAATGCATGAGACAGAACCTAACAAATTGGCAGGTCACTTTTTATTCAATTGCGTTTATATCTATCAAGAAAATAAAATGTTGAACATGTTAGACTGATATTCAAGCATGATAGGCAACTTACAGGGTTTTCAGTAAAGTGAGAATATTCCTTTTTTAGTTAATTATTTTTTTAATTTCCTTAATTGGAGTGTGTTCATTTTAGAATTTAATTTGTCCTGCTCTGTCAATTTCATATGTCGTGCTGGAGCCCCCTCTTTATTATTTCTCTATAGCCTCCACCTAGGTAGCACTAGGGGACACAATGCCCCGCTCACTATGTTATTTATTTGTAGCTTTTATTGTATTAATAATAGCTACCTAATCGCTAGTCTTTTATGACAGCAAGCAGATGCTGTCTCCTCGCTGTTTAGAAGACATGCATGTACCCATAGCATGGTGGGTTGGGGTACGAGGTGGTTCAAATGGACCCTATCAGCTTTTATTTGTTAAACTAACCCTCAGGGGAATGGGGGCAAAAAGAAACATGCAAACATGATTTCAGGACTAGCTGTGCCAGGACTACCATTTTTAATGCCCTTCAGTTAAAAATGAAAGTGGTTGTCCAAATTTAGTTTGGAATGAAAATATGCAAATTACATTCGAACAGATGGAACCAAAACATGGGCCCAACTTGGTTCTGCTCAATAAAGTTTTTATTTTCTGACAAAATGATTTGGATGAACCTTATTTTCTTTCTGTGCACAATACTAATATAGAAGCTCTATCCCGCAACCTTTTTTGTTTTAAATCAAAAACTTCTATTGGATTTCAATTTAAAATCAATGCATCCTTGACAATTCCTTTTTTATTGTCACTTTTTCTAGTATACAATTACATAACTATACCTGGTGACTGTTTAATTTCTCTATTAGTCCTGATAAAATCTTTAAGTAAAAAATAGAAAATAGAAATAAAATGCCATATAAACTCTTCTGACTAATTATTATCACTGGTATAATTCTCCTAGTAGAACGTACGCTGCTTGGATAACATAGAATGTATCTATCAATCTCACCTGATACATGCCTCTGCTGGTTTTGTCAGTACTTTCCACTCTTTCATCTATTATAATAAAATTCTTCCTTGACTCACAACTGTAGAAAATACAAAACAAATTCTTAGTGAACAATGTGCAACAGAGGAAGATGTTCTCAAAGTAACTCAAGTCCACAATTGTGGAGCATATTTTAAAATGGGGAGCAGTCACCATGGGTCGGTTTCTGCTGTGTTGTAGTTAGTTTCCATGTTGACTACCCAACTTTAGAAGTTAACTCCTGAAATGTCTAATATAGCATTCAAAAATATCAAGAGACACTTCATGGGAGCTGTCACTTTTGAATTTATAATATTGATAGAAACTTTGAACATTCCCAATAACCCGTGGTAAAAAAGACTAAGTCAGAACAAATATTGCAAATGAAGAGGTGGTATAGAAACATCATTTTATTTCTCTTCTTCTTTGCACCTGGCAGCCATCATAGAGAAAGCATACGAAGGACAGAGTTTATAACATAAACAGGGAGCTAAAATCCAGTCGCAGGATAAGGAAGTGAGATTTTTTACATTTTTTCACACCTCTAAAATACATATGTTCCCCTCTAATTCTTCAATGGTAACACTTTTGAGATTTAAATATACCTACACACAAGAGCCCTATCCTTGTACAAATAACATTTTAAAAAGATGGGGAACTGGATTTAAGGGGGTAGTTTCTTAACAATATAATTTTTAACAAGTATGTGTTTATAGATCTTAAAATGAAAATAAAATGAAATGTGCCTGTTGTGTTTGCATCCATCTTCATCTCCTGACCTGTCCTTGTTATAAGCTCTGTCCTTTGCTCCTGGCTGTCAGGAAAATAACAGAACAGAGAGAGAGAGAGAGAGAGAGAGAAAGGAGAAGAATAAAATACAATGTTTCTTCCCCTCTTAGTAGAATGCAATGTGTGCCCTAGCTGTGCCAGGACTGAGCTGGATTGTAATGTCAATTTCAAAATGTTTTATATAAATTTAACACAAAGCCAAACACGAGAAAAGTTAAGACAAGTAACAGGTAATTCTAAATGTTTTATTCAATTATAGAATTTCCAGAGAAGTGTAAGCTCTTTTTATAAAATACAGCTTGAAATATATCTGCTTAGTTAACAAAACAGAATGTAGCATTTTTCAGTTATTACACATGGATTAATGTCTACTTCTCTATGAAGTTTCAAGGAGCCAGAACACAGTAATTTAAAAAAGAGAATAAACTGATTACTGAAATTAAGTCGTTTTCCTTGTGCTTGTTTTCTTTTTCAATTTTTTTCTATCTCATTATAATTCTGTGTCTTGCCTTTCAGTGCTGCTAATCAGTTCATTAGCTGGGACCAGGAAAGCACCTTTAGCATCACCTTAGCTACTTTATTGTTAGAGGGCAAGGTACAATGAACATACAGTGGGGGAGAGGAAGGGGCGTGTCTTACCACCAATGAGCAAGGCCATTTGAACCACAAGCTATAATTTGTAATTCCCAGCGACAGCAATCGACACCATGGGCAAAAAATGCAAACCTCAACCTGCCCTGATTACAGAGGGAACTCCATAGCTGACAGACTCCAATATGTCACCCAGCCCTAGCGGTATGTACTCCAGCTCCCAAAGCCATTCTCCCATACTCTCTTGCTGGAGAGGAGCCAGGTAGTGGTGGAATTATACCCTCACGGTCCACCAAAGATGATGTTGTTAAGATGTTAGAGCACATCTTGTTTCTAATCCAAACAGAAATAGTTGGAATACGCACAGATATTGCAGCCTTGGACACACAAGTGTTGCAGTCCAACTGCACAATCCAAGCCACCTCTACAACAGCCCATAAAACTATGGCTACTACAACTACATATGCCACAACCCTAACACACTTAGTGACATCATTGAATGACCTGGATAACAGGGGCAGGCACTTGAACCCTAGTGTGCAAGGCATCCCAGAAGCAGAGAGCCCAGAGGACATCCCAGACCTCCTACAAGAGCTGTTCTGCTCCATCCTATGCTCAGTTGTTTTTTTTGCCTTAATTGGCCCAGTGCAATCACACTGCAAATTTCAGCAATGATCTCTCAGACGCACACAACCTAGGAATGTTGTGTGTTGCCTTACTGACTTTCAATTGAAGTACTGTCTCCTGCGCCAGTACCCATCGATCACTTTTAGAGAGGCAGAGGTCTCCAGGATCTCTCAAGACATACCGAACAATCTTGGAAGGCCTTGAAGTCTGTCACTAATGCCCCCAACATTCCATACAGATGGGGCTTGCTCCTTCAGCTGGCTGCCAAGAGGGGTACCAAAACATGGTTCATCAAAACACCACCTTTTACTAGGGCTATGGACTTGGACTTGCTGGAGGTCACAGTGACAGATTGGCTTTCCTGGGATCCACCAACCAAATCCAGGCAACACCCATTCCACAGCCACTGCTAAAGTGCCCCAGACAAGTGCAGAGGAGTGGGTACTCACCTTCTACAACTGAGGAGTGAGCCATGAAGGCTTGTTGTCCTACGGGGCAGACAACTGGTCCCTCAACTGATAGATACATTGGAGTCTACCCTTTTGTGCATCAACTATTATGAAGGTTTACCACTCCTGGCAGTGGCGGAACTATCGCGGTCGCAGGGGTCACACCTGCGACCGCCCCCTGTGACCAGGTTGCCCACCGGCATTACGTGGCCCTGGCCCTCGCGGTAGAACTCAGAGACCCATCGGGTGGCCCATGCTGTTAGTATTTAAGAACTTTCTAAAAAAAGAAGGTGAAATTTACAACTTGGTTCAAAGTTTGCATTACTGGAAAGAAAATATATCACTTATTACCACTGATACATTAAAATGTATAGTAATCATTTAACAATTAAGCAAGCAAGGTAAAGGAGGGATTTAGAGTCACCCTCATGTTTCTTACCTTTTAGATGCAGGAGGGTGGCTTTCCCTGGGGTCTATTGGCTCAGGCTGATGGGAAACAGGAGGGTGACTTAAACATTTTGCATGTGTCTGTGTGTTAGTGTATGTGTCTCTATACGTGTGTGTGTGTGTTTGTGTATGTGTGTCTGCATGTATGTTTCTCTGTATGTGTGTGTGCATGTGTGTCTGTATGTATGTGTGTAAGTGTGTGTCTGTATCTGTGTGTGTGTTTGTGTGTCTCTGTGTGTGTGTGTCTATGTGTGTGTCTGCATGTGTATCTGTTTGTCTACATGTGTGTGTGTGTGTCTATGTTTGTGTCTGCATGTGTATCTGTTTGTCTGCATGTGTGTGTGTGCAGGGGACTTATGGGAGGGGGGGAAGTAGACATATGGGTATGAGGGGACCCCAGGGCAATTTGTGCACCGTGGCCCCGTGGTTTGTACTTACGCCTCTGACTCCTAGTAAGCAGAACTTGCTAAACTGGGACTACCTGGTAACTGATACTTGTGCTGCGACATTCATAGGGGCTAATCCCTAAGACTAATCATATCTTTGAGGTCACAGTTCAAGTGGTGGCCATTACAGGGGAGAAAATGCATGCCTTATAATTATCATTTCAGGAAACTAGTGGGAAGTACTATGGTGTGATGGTTTGAATAGGCTTTCATGTTTGCCCCTGTGGGGTAGTCTCATATTGCCATTTATATGGATGAGGGATGTGCTGAAACAGGGTGTGTGCCCAATTATATTACCTCAAACACCATTCCAAGATGCATTTATTAAGGGCTTAAGAATTAAGGGATGCCCAGGGACCTGGTTTCTGCACCTTCCCCAATGTTTGTGTTTTTGTCCTTACTCATCACTTCCATTGTGTTTCTAATGGAATGTCATTATATGTGGACATCATTTTATGCCCCATGTAGATGAGTGTGGTGTAGGTGCATGGGGATGCATGAGGTATATCAGGCCAGGCTTACTATTATGCCTAATTTAAGATGGCACTGTAGTGTCATTTGGGAAGAGGGGTGCAACTATGGTATTAACACCTGCGTCCATTGAATGACCAGCACAGTGCGGTATCCGAGATTGCGCCCCCACTATGATGTCATGGGCCTTCTGGGGAGACCCAAAATTTTACTCTGTCTAACTAATTGTACATTGCTGCTGCCCTTCTGTTTTGTTTTCCGTTTTAGTTCTTGGGACTCAGGTATGCGACTCTCTTAAGTAAATGGGGTTGTGTCCAATTTGGATTTTTTTTCGTAAATATCAGTTGTGCTCCTGATATTGGGACATTTCATTTTATTTTACTGTGGCCGTGCGAGGCTGCCATATTTGTGTTTTTCAAAATCATTTGCTGACGAGACTCTAACATACAGGAGAATTATACCTTATTCATTGCTCTATATGTGTTTATATAGCTAATTATCACTGATTTAGAACATACAGTGCGAAAATCAAAGTGGAGGCTGAGAGGTGGTGGGGAATTTTGCTGTATGCTTAAGCGCCCCCAAATTAAGCCTGTGTCCAAATCAAGGAAAGCTGACATTGAGACAGAAAACTGATGAGTGGATCAATGTGTACTGAATGCAAATCAGATTCAGTGACATTCAGAAATGCTTTTTATTTTATCAGCAAATGTTCAGAATTTCTCTACTTATTCCTACTTTCAAATTAAAGGTCACTACGGATGCACTTACTCACTGTCCTGCTGCATCAGAGTGCTTACATATTTCACAATGTGTACACTGACTGTATAACTTTATATTCATTCCATGTTCCATTTCAATTGGACTGTATGTAGGATGGATCAAAATGTTGTATTTTTGCTTTTTTTTATCCACAATCCTGATTTTTGCATTTACTGGGTTAGCAGAAATTCGGCTTTTTATAAATCTATAGAAATGTAGACATTAAAGGGGCATTCTAGGAGTCAAATAAATTCCTCGCTAATGAATTATATAGATAGTACCAAAAACAGCAATATTTTTTGCAATTGTCAGACTGCAGAGACTGCACGACCACTACATTAAGATATAGTGATTATGGTGTTTACACTGTCCCTTAATCACTACAATGAACTGTAGAGTGCACTATAAATAGTAGAACTTGAGCTTCGTAGATATATAAGTAAGAAAGCAGAGGGCAAGTTAGCCCGCATCATATATCTGGACTGCTTTCTAGGGCGGGATCAGTCTGATATGCAAATAGTTTAGGTTATCTCTGTAATGGCACTTGATGAGCTAAATAATTTTGAGAACAAAGTGGGGACCCATTAAAGAGCCAGCTATTTGACTTGTAGGCTGTTCTTAGTATTCTCT